TCCAAAAATTCTGTTCTAGACTCAAGTGTAAAATAACCTAAGGCAAAGGAGGAATGGGAATTATAGCAAGATAACTACTTGTTCAGTCATGGGCTGTGCAACAGTCTGAAAACCATCATGGAATGTGAAAAATCAAATGATCAAAGGTAAAGATTCAGAAATTGCAGAAACTCGATGGACAAAATCAGAGCAGTGCATCAAATATGCAAAACAGTTAAAGGTAACAAAATTCTCTTCTGGTAGGTAAATGAATAAGCAGGTCAGTTAGAGAATTGGGCTGCAGCAGGAGAGGGCACTTTCCCTGGTGAATTGTGTGTGAGGCCCTAACATTGCAAACAGATTTCAGAGAACACATTCAAACATATTTTGGGAACTGGCAGATACTTGTTCCAGTTCTGCTGTAGGAGAGGAGACTTGGGTGAACCATTAGAATTCTATTTAACATTTGTCTGTGATTCTTGTTTGATAAGGTTGTACTTGCACAGGACTGTAGTTATTCTCCCACTGGGGTTCTTGCTGATTTGTTCAGTAAGAGTTCACTGTTGAAAGCTGCTCTGAGGATGAGTTGGGTCTGTGTCTCTGAGGAACTCCCTGGCTTTTGAATGTTACTTCACTGGCAGCAGGACTTGGGCAGTGTGGAGTCCCTGCTGCAGGAAGTCTTGGGGAATACACCAACAAAACCTCTTCTATTCCTGTGCATGCTGAAGTTCAACAAAGTGCTTGGGTTGGCTTCTCTCCTGACTTCTGGGTTCAGTAAAGACTTTCAGTTTTCCAGCACAGAAATCCATAGGAAGTTGGGAGCCCTGGTGGGATTTGGGAGTCTCAGCATCTCCTTGGATGTGCTTTGACTTTGCCAGTAGTGCTTCCATTTGGATTAATGATTAATGCCTGTTGATTCCAATGAGGGAAGAGCTTCTGCAGTGTTCATGTGTGAGCATGAGCAAGGCACAGAAAACAAACCTATGTGCTACCCTGAGCAATTTGTGGGGAGCTTCAAGCAGCTCTGTTCTGGGACCAAAAGTGCTACAGAAGGGGACCATGGCCCAGGCTGAGCAGTGAGAAATAACCTGCTCCAGGTGCTTTGACTTCAGCCTTTGTTTGTCTTTCACGTGGAGATTTGTCACTGCCACTTCTGAGATGAAAAACTGCACTGATGGGCATTAGAGAAGTGGATTCTTTCTTATGATCTAAATTCCAAGTGGGGAGAAAGGTATAAGAGATGCAAATTGAGTGATACTAAGGGAGAGAAACACTGCCCATCCAGCAATTCTGTAATCACCATCCATCCTTGCAAGATTTTTATTAAACTTGCCCTCTCTTGGCAGTTCCAGCAGCCCAGATTAATTCCCAGTGCTCTGATCCCCACTAGCAACTTGGAGCTGATGCAAAAGAGCACACTGCCTGTTTCATATGATCCTTTCCAGGGCAAATCTTCTGGTGTCTTCATCTCCATGCCTTTATAAATCTTCCTGCTGTTTTTCCAGTTTGTGTGGTGGAGAGATACTAACCAGTCACATGAATGTAAGGGCCCACTATTAATCCTCCTTTAGCACGAGGCTAGGGGCTTATTTTATATCCATTGCCTTCACTCTTGAGCTGCAGTTTTCCCACTGCTTTTCTTGCAGCTTACTCAGCGTGGGCAGGTGGTCCCAAAGAGAAGGGATGGAATTGCTGTGTAGCTTCCATGAATAAAGGCACAGAGGTGCCACCTGACTCTGAGGTGTGGTTAGTGTGCTGCACAGGGTAGAGCTCAGTGCCAGCAGGGATTTAGGTCTCAGGAGGCCATTTCCCACCCAGTCACTGGGTGTCATTAGCAGTGTGTAAAGAACTGGGCACTGCTGGACTGGAGTCCCACTTGTGCAGTGGCCTGGGCTGTCATCTGACCTTCCCTTTCCTGCAGGAGAACACTGGAGTGCAGCATTTGGTGCAGGGTTGTTCCCTGGGGCCAGGGAGTTGAGAACCCCTGTTTGGGGGAAGAAAGGTGCTCATGGGACAACCCCCATCCAGAGGGTCCCCTCTGTAACTCCCAGGATGAAAGGCTGGTTGTTGCTCAAGCTCCAGGGCTTACACACCCTACAAAGCTCTTGGAGGTCTATTGTTTCTTCTCTTCTGCTGAACTCACTGTTATAACTGGTTATTCTTCTCACTCTTCTGAAGTCACTGAGTACATGGTGTGTTATATCTCCTGGAAATATTATATCTTGTTTTGCCCACACTTTAGGGTTTTTTTCATCCAGTTTTGTATAGACCCTTTTAGTCTTTCTCTTCTCTCTTTGAAATAAAGTTGTGTCCTATGTATGGGTTTTTTTTCTCTGCACTTTTACAGGCTGGGTTGGGTGGTATGATTAATTATTGACAAATTAAATTGGTACCTGCCTTAGCTGAAAGTTAAACTGGAATTCGGTAATTAAGGATATAGACTTACATGTCAATGAGAAGACTTCTTAAAACACGATGTATGTGAATAGGTGTGAACTGAGAACTTAGTCCTGAAGTAGAATAGGCTTCTCAACTTCTAGTGAACTAAGACAGTTCAGGTCCTGTTCACTAAATACAGAGTGAGAGCTTCATGATAGAGGTAAAACTCAGAAAAGGATAGAAGACTGGCAGCAGCATGAGTAAGGCAGAGACTGTGGGGATGTATTCCACTCCTTCGATTGTATTCTATAGAAAATCTGTTCTGGTTTAAGGATTCACTTTAAAATGGGAGAGTTTTGCTTTTCACTAATGGCAGGAACTCTGAATGTTGCTGCCCATTGCAGTGTGGGGATGTGGTGATGACACCATGAAACCTGCTGTGGGCAGAGCTTTCAGAGCCTGTTTACAGAGTGCTCCAGCAAAGCCAGTGGGGCTGTGTTTTGGCTGGGAGGGAAGGTTGTGGGGGGAAAAGGCCTCAGGTGCCCACTGCCAGATAAGCAGAAACTCTCATTCTGCCTCCTGTAAACTTTGCCATAGAAGGTGGAGGAAGGAAGGAGACCTGACAGTGAGTGGGTAGTGCTGTTCATCTCCTCTCCTTCGATGTTTGCTGGCACTCCCCTGGCAGAGTTGAGCTCCTGTGCACCCCAGCACCCCTGGGAGGCATCAGGAGTGGTTTCATCCCTCTCCCAAAGAACTGAGCCAGTGTTTGTTTGGGGGGGGGATGTAGGATCCCCCCAGCCTCACCTGTAACCCTGCAGGTGATCAGGGAAGCCCTGGGGTGCCCAGCACGGAGCTGGTGCTCTCTCAGTTCTGGGCATGCAAAGGGAGGAGCCTGGCCATGATCCCACAGAAACTGAAGCTGTTCCAGGTTATTAAGAAAAGTCATAAACAGATAGGAATAAAACTGGGATCAGGGCTCTAAAGCAGTAAAATAACAAAGGTCAGGAGGTCACTGACTGACTGAGGGGTGTGTTACCAGTGAGAAGAGCAGCAGATGCAGCAGGCAGGGACAGAAAGGGGGTTCCTGCACCTGAGAGGGGTTTCCAAGAACACCCATCTGTAGCAGTACTGAGACATACTGGGAAACTGCTGCACTTGATCAAAACAAAACTCTCAGTGGTGGGGGAAATACTAAAATATATCTGCGTGTACAGGTGATTTCTGAGCTGATAAAACACACCTTCAGTGGTCACATGATGATATTCTCTTGGGCTCCTGGTTTTATATGGATATATTGCATTACTAATTGTTTATTAATAATACAGAAATTATTAATAATAATACAGAAATTATACCAAGCACAAATTTGTCATTGTCAGAACTGAGGTTGACAGTGTTACCCGGTATGAAACAGATAACAATTAAATGTTATTTCATGAAGAAGCAAAACTAATTCAAGAAATCACTTTTTAATTTGTGTTGTAAACCAACCTCCCAGTAACATACAGAGGCTCTGACTGTGCTGGCATGTTTTGAAATGTGGATGTTTCTAATGCTTCTTTTTCAAGGAATAAAATACCAGAATTAAAACATTCATGTAATATTCAGTATGTTTAAACTATCCTTATTTCTCCCTTGTACAGGGATAATACTGCTCACTGTTAAGCTGCTTCTGTTAGGGTTTGAATTTTTGAAGCCATGCAGTGGATCATTAATCCAATTGAACTTTCTGTAAAAGCTGTGGGACTTACTCTTTTGTGATGTTAATGGTGTTGGGATGGATTTTGTAGCTCTGCAGTTTGCTTAATTTTTCTGCATTTCCTGCATTAACAAAAGAAGATTGTGAAGTGACCAAGAGAAGATCAGGCAGCAGCAAAGAAAGTGTCTCTCTGTTGTCTTGGGTGATGTCATTGGGTATTTAGATAGTCTCTAGCTCCAAGGGTCAAAATATTTTGTTTGTACTGATTGAATTTGGATCATGTCACAAGAATTGTCATTTATGGCCATTGCGTTGTTACATTTTTAATTTTGGAAGCTTGGTTGGATTCCCAGTGAAGAGTTAATCCCATCAGCTTGGCTGTTGGGGTGCTGGGGGGAATGCAGCACCCAGAGGGAGGAGTGACTCAGCCACAGGTGCTGCTGCTGGGCCTGGGAGCCCTGGCATGGGCAGGACTTGCCTCCGTCCCTGAGCTGTGCTGGGGCTCAGCTGGGCACTGCCATCACTGCCTGTCTCTGCACAGGGAGCAGGGCATCTGGGATCCAGGGCTGGGCACACAGAGGGCACAGCTGGACCTGGAACATGGGCTTCTTTTGGTTCTGCACACCAAGTGAAAACACTTGGCACCTTTAGCCAGGACATGAGTCCCCGTTGCTGTCACTGCTGCCTTGCACTGGCTTGGCTGCCAGGAGGAAAAGATGGAAATGTCACTAACTCCTGGTTTGAAAGCACATTACAGGACAAATGGTTTCTTTTTACCCATTTCTTCAAGAGACAGCCTTGTTCAAAGCATTCCTGTTATTGTTGCACTCCATGCTCTCGTGTGTATTGTTGAGCTGTTCCTTTAGCAGCAGGAAAGCATTGAGACTTTGACGTTCCAAAAATGGGTTGTGTTAACTTCTCTTTTTCTTTCACTACATTACAGGTACAGTAAGAATTGAAATGTTTAGGAACATGCAAAATGCAGAAATCATAAGGAAAATGACAGAAGAATTTGATGAGGTAGAGTATACAAATAGTTCTTTAAATATTATGAAATATATTACTGTATGCTCCTATCCTAAATTAAAAATGCAATGGGCAAAAAAACAGTGGGAAAACAATGTCTCAGTATGGGAAATTGCACTGACAAGCAAAGCAGAGAATTTTGCTGTTGGATGAGGAATAACAAGCCAGCATGAGCTTTAGGAAGGAGATAAATGGTATTATTTATAATGAACAACCAACAAGTAATAGAATAATTTGAAAGGTGGTTATAGTCACTCACCTTGACAGGTCAGTGCCATGGGTTGGGTAAGCCCTGGATCTGAAATACTGGTACTGAAAAGTTGGGAATTAGGCATTTTAAGGTCAGAAGTCTAGTGTCACACAAAAGCAGGGAGCAGGCTCACTCCAGGGTGTCACAGAGCCAGGTCTGACTGTGCAGGAACCACCTGGGACCATGTGAGCCCTGGGCTGGACCCATGGAGACCCTCCTGGATCTTTGTGTGGCTTTGGGGACCCCCTTGTGTGTGTGTCCCTCCTGGATCAGGGAGAGCTCAGGGAGAGGAGCACAGGAGGAACTGTAGGGCTCTGATCCCCCTGCCCCTGGCAGTGCCATTCTGGGCCCTGGCATTCACCTCCTGGAAGTGCCACCACACAACAAAGAACTGCAGGGCCTGAGACAGGCAGAACCCTCAGACAGGACCACAGCATTGGCACCATTGGGCTGTTTTCTGTGTGCAGAGTAATGGTCTGTTCACTTGAAATGGCAATTTAAACCAAATAGGAACTTGACATGAAAAGTGCCATTTTGGAACAGTGATGCAGAAAGAAGTACTCTTTCAAAAGATCTAAGCATTTAGTTGAAAACAAGTGTGTTACAAGTCAGACTGTGTGTCTTCTGTCCAAATAAACATGTTGCTAATGGTGAATGCTTTTTAGCTTTGAGGTTTTCAAACTGTGTTTCCTTTGATTTTCACGTATAAAAAGCCGGATATTCTGAGCGTTCCTTTTATTTAATGAGGAAAACAAATGCTGAAACAGGAATTTTCTGTAGGACAGCAATGTCTGTCTGATCAGTTAATTCTAAATGGAATGCCAAGGCTGTGATTCAGAAAGTTAAGCAGGAAAACTATAAATAGAAGCACTGCTCTCTCTCAGGATTTCCTTCTGCATGATTTCCATCTTGTTCATGGCCTTCAGTAGAAGATGTTTCACTGAACACCTGACTGCAGCCATGGGGTGCTCCTTTGCTGTGCTCAGGTGTTCAGGCAGTTTGTGTGCATGGACAGAGAATAAAATTTGGGTGGCCAGTGATGAGCCGAAGGGTTGTATCAATTCATGCTGCATTCTGGCTTAATTACTTTCTCTTTTTAAAACATCACCAAGCAGAGTTATTAAAATGCAGTGGTGTAGTGTAAAATGCAGTGGTGTAGTGTAAATTTTACTTGGGTCATTTAAAAACCAGCATTGGATATGGTGTGTAGTCCAGTCCCATCATATAAAATAAGGGACCAGTGCACTGTCCAAAGGCCAAAGAACTTTGATTTTGCCCAAGGGGAGGTTGTCCCACAGTTGATGGAAGAAAGTATTTTTCAAAAACACTTTTCAAAAACTGTCAAAGTTGTTTCTCAAAGGAGAAACAACCACTTCCTTATGCAGGGCATGAATGTACCTAAGAGCAGGATGTCTCAGAGTCACAGGGTGCATGAGCTTTCTTTCTCAATTACCTAAAACTTCTCAGAGCTTTTACAGTTCTAATAACTGTAGCTTCTGCCTTAACACTTGAGTGGATTCGTGAGAGAATTTGTGGGGTTTAGTATAAAAGCATCAAATTGTTAGTGTTAGACTGCAACTTGGTGAATATTTTGTCCTCCAGGATTATCTGTTGGCATTTCCCTTGGGACACCTCTGCCAGTAGCCCAGAAATCCCAACTGTCCCGTTGTTCCCTCAGTGCTGCAGGAATCATTTGGCTGCTAGCCCGAGTTGCTGCATTCAGGGCAGAGATTGAAGCATTGATTTTCCTCCTCATGAATGGAGCAATGCCTGTGCAGGATTTAAATGGTGGAAATAACTGTTCATTGCTGCCACAAGTTCAGTTTGAGGTGGGGAATTCCATGGACATCGATTGGCTACACTGTTTGGGTGCTTGGCTTCTGAGCAGAGGCATTTTGTAGGTGGATTGCCTCATAATTCTTGTGTTAAGAGTTGAGCAGGTGAACAAAGACTTGGTTTGCTTTGACTTTTCTGAGTGCTGGGCCATCAAATATCACATCAGTGTCACTAATGTGTCATGTTTTTATTGGTGTTCAACAGTAAAAGATCCACTAAATGGGTTTTACTGTAAATTCATTCTTCCCACTTCAGCCAGGTGAGGTGTTCTCGGGGCAGTCTCCAGAAGCCTTTTGAAAGGGTTGTGTGATTTGTGATTGCAGGTAAAAATACACCACACATCTGTGAGTAGTTACACACAGCCCTAGAGATTCTGAGGAGCTGCTCCAAAACTCTGCATATCCCCACCTCTAGAAAGTGTAATTATGTACCAAAGTTCATGTGCAGAGGTCCATCAGATCATTTTGGTGTGGTTGAAATGTGTGGGATTTGATTAAATTTGAGGGGCAGGGGTTTTGCTGCAGGGGAATGTAATATATAAAGATTAAGCACAAGGTTATTTGATTGCAGCTCCTCTACACCCACATTACCACCTTTACATGGTTCAGTCTGGGCAGTACAACATGTCCTGAGGAGCAAAGAGCTTGTTCTGCACAAAACCACAGAATGAATATGTACAAATGGATTTAACTTTGGTACTACTGACTTCTTATCCTGGGGGAGAGATTGAGGCTGGAGCATTATTGCCCTGATGGTTTGGATAATCTGGAATTGGCTTACAAACCAGGTGGCCAGGGAGGTGGTATTCAGGCTTTTTCAGGGAAGGGGCAAAAAGCATGTTCTAATTCTGTGGGGCTGGTCTCGCTGAAATGCAGTTTGTACAGTGAAGCGAGAACAGTCAGGGCAGACTTGGAGAGGAATTAAAGGAACTGAGTGTTCACATGCCTACTCCAATCTTGTAATAGCTTCTTGAAGATGGAGTGGATGAATCTCTAGTAAAATTTCCATTTCCTCTGTCAGAAGGCAAGTTTTACCTCTAGGAAAAGGCTATGTTTATAAGCTAAAACAGAGCTATGTTTACTTTCTGAAAAGATCTCAACTGTAAACTTGAGCAAAGCAAAGTCTGTGGGGAGGGGCAGCCAGTTGAATAGAATATTAACCTGGAGTTGAAGTGGGGCTGGAGAGTGACAGCTTTCAATTACACAAGCCTTTCTTTAGGTTTTGACCTTAAATAATTGGAAATATTCCTTTCTCATGCTTTCCCCCCACTTCCTAACCCAGGACACAAGGAAAAGAATTGAATCTGGATACATATTTTGGACTATATAGAGCCAATAGTGCAAGTGTAAAACAGTTACAATGAAGTCTTTGCAAAAGTGGTTTTGTGCCCCTGAGGTTCCCCGTTTATTGAAGAATAATGTGGGTTTTATTTGTTATTCTTCCTTGGCTTGAAGGAACACGAGCTTAGAAATTCAGCCTGGGACGGCTACAACAGCATTAAAATAACTGAAATGGGCAGCCCCTCAACACTCCCTGTTTTGCTTTCCCTGCCCTGCAGGACAGTGGGGACTATCCCCTCACCATGCCCGGGCCCCAGTGGAAGAAGTTCCGCTCCAACTTCTGCGAGTTCATCGGGGTCCTGATCCGGCAGTGCCAGTACAGCATCATCTACGACGAGTACATGATGGACACGGTGATCTCCCTGCTCACAGGGCTCTCGGACTCCCAGGTCAGGGCCTTCAGGCACACCAGTACCTTGGCTGGTAAGTGACAGCTGCTGCTCAGGAGCTGCTGCTGCTGAGCCACTGGGACAACTCCTCCTGCCTTGCCTGGGATTTGACCAGCACTTAGAATTGTGGAGAGCTTGAGCAAAGCCAGGTGCCATGTATGGTACAGCTGTACTCAAAGTACACGTTTAGTTTGGAAAGGAGTAGGTGGGGCACTGAGTTCTGGTCATACCCAGGGGCCTCCAGTGGATCCTCAGAATCAGAAGTGCTGTGCTTATGTCTTGGAGTTTGTTATTAGTTGTTCCTTTGTTGTATAGAATGTCTTAATAATTTGGTATTTTGGAGTACAAATTCATTCTTAAGGAGTGTCAAGATAATTTTATTATCAGAGAATTTCTGTCCACCAATAAGAACAGTCTGACCTTCACTCTGGAGCAGTTTTAGGTTTGGGAGCACTGGGCCAAGGGTAAAGGGCTCCAGCCACACCACACCTTTCATGCAGCTGCCTGCATGTAAGGAGAGCCCTGGGTGCAGCATAGGAATAGGAATAGGCTTTTCTAGAGTGTATTTCATCAGACCTCTATGTCTGCTGTAAGGTGGATGAATTGCTCTCTACAAGTAACTGGTTTTCTCCAATTACAAAGTAATACCAGGCTTGGATGTTGGTGCTTAAAGCTGGTCATGTCAGGTGACAAGGAACACATTTTATTGCAAGGTTCACCTTTACAGAAATGTATCAGAATCTGAATATTGCTACAGCCAATATTTGTTACTGATTTAGTCTTTCCACAGTCAGCCTCATACAATTTTGCTCAGTTTCTGAGTGTAATACCCAGTGTTCAAGAGAGTCAATCAGAATTTGTTTACAATTTCATCTCTCTTTATGAATTGAAGCAAGAAGCAAGAGGCAGATTTCCAATGATACTGAAAAAACAACTCAAATCTGGAGTGGAGTTTGATTTTAAAATTGAAACCCCAAACCTTCAGCTCACAGTGACTGAACTCTTGTAAACTCATCCCCTCGTGCTTTTCATGTTACTCAGCAATGGGCTGATAAAACCTTGAATTATGCAGGTGAAACCTTCCAGGTTTAGAGTTTCCTCTACAAATGGAGCATTCAAAGGTGAACACTGTTTGAGCCACAGGTAACCTGCTGGAAATATCTGCCTGTTATTTAAACTGTATCCCTTTCCATCTGATGCCATCTGCAATTCCAGGGGATTTTGATTTGCTATTTGCTCAGATTGGGGTTGATTGTTTCGTAGGGAAGAGTTTATGGAGTGGGGTCTGTGCACTCTCCCTTGGATTGGTTGGTCCATCCCTGCATGGGATGTTTGGAAAGTATGAGGAAGGAAACAGCAGCACACGTTTGAGATGTTACCCAGGGCCTCTGCTGTGTGGAAGAAGGAGTTCCCATTGTTTGGAATGGATTGTGTAGCTGGAAACTTGTAGCAAGGAAAAGCTGAAGCTAAAGCCAAAGTTATCACAAACTAACTTCAGTTACTGCAACAGTTACACTGTACCTGACAGTGTGCTGGGAACAGGACCTGCCAGAGATCTCCAGCACTTACCAGTGACAATACCAGGACATTTACTTATTTGTTTGCTTGTTTTAACGAGCTTGAGAGCTTTGTTTTGATTCTGCAGATTGCCTTCAAGCTGTGTTTGCACATGTAATTATGCTGCTGTCCTGCAGAGCAGAGGTCCACATGATGCCGGGGAGCTCAGTCTTGATCAAGTTTATGAAAATCTACTTGTAGAATTTCAGTTCTGGAAGGAGTGTTTCTAAGGTCCTTGTTTTCAGTTTTCCTCTGTGCCAGTCAATTTGAATGAGAAATTATTCACTGTAGCAAGAAACTTAAGGCAAGAAGTACCTGTGGGTTCCCAGCTTTGAGCAGTAGCAGGATAAGTCAGAGCAGCTTCTCTTCTGCATTGGTGAGGTTGCTTTCCAGATGGCTGTGTGCCAGGGGGAAGTGGGTGTTTTCTGAGAGTGTGGATATGCTGAGGAAATGGGAGTTTTAGCTCTGATTACAGGTAAAGACTCAAGTTCTGTCTTCTGCCTTCGCAGCTATGAAGCTTATGACTGCTCTTGTGAATGTTGCCTTAAACCTGAGCATCCATCAGGATAATACACAGAGGCAGTATGAAGCTGAGAGGAACAAAATGATTGGCAAAAGAGCTAATGAGAGGTTGGAGCTGCTGCTTCAGAAAAGAAAAGAGGCAAGTGAAAAGATGATTTTTTTTTTGCCTGTTCACGTGCATTCCCTCCAACAGAAAGCCCAGGGTGGTTTGTGACTCGAGTGCCATAGTGAGAAAGAAATGAGTTCTGCAGTGGTGTTTGTGTGACCTCAGACCTATTACTTGGGCTACATTAAATCCTGTGTGAATACATTCAGCTGAGTTTGTGCCTGTTTTGCGCTCACAGGATGATTCCTGTTCTCAGGCTTCTCTGTATGACCAGGCAGGAAGAGTCTCAAGTTGTAAGTAGTGACTGTTCTGATTATGCAAAGAGATTCTGACAAGAGGATCACATTGTCCCTCCCTGCACTGCCCATTTCTCCCTCTGATCCCTGCAGTTATTCCATAGTGTCTCATTACTGCTTCTTGTTGGAGCTGCTTTCAAAGAACACTGCAGTGGGGCTGTAGAACCTGGACTCAGGGACAAGAAGCTGGGGAGACATTGAAGTCACTTTTCAAAAGTACCAGTCTGGCATTAGGGGAGAAAAAACATTAGAAGGTTGCTGTAATCATCCCTAAATAATTTAAAGTATTATATCATAGGAAATTTCAGTTTAGAGTTGTCCTTAAAAGAAACTTAAAGGTGACAATTAGAAAATTAATACATATACAGCCAAACAGCCATAATCTGTAAAGATGCCAAGTAAAACTCATGAGAGTGATTGAAAAATTGAAGTTTATGTGACTTTGATTAAAATTTTTTATTTTTAATATATTAGTTTTGAATATATTTCCTCCACCACAGTTTTACTCTGTGGTAATTAAGGTTGTCTGGGTGCTTTACCTGTGTGCACCTTAGAGTCTTTTAGTATAACTTTGACTCAGAATTGCTTGACTTTATAGTCTTTGTTTGGGGATAATTACAATTGTGTATTTTTTTTTACCCCTATATCCTTAACACAATTATATTTGATTTTCACAGTTCTTAAAAATCATGCATTAAGGCACAAAGTAAGAACAATCTCTCCATGCAAGAGAAACATTTTAAATGAAATATCAAACTGAATGCCAGCTTTAAAGCATTTTGAAAGGCAAAATAGCTGGAACAGAGCTTGTATTGCAGTTCCTGACATAATGCTGTGTATTCCCAGGGTTTAACTGTGCTGAATTTACAGGATATTCTGTGCTGGCACTTTGTTAGACGATTCTTTTTATGAAGTGCCATCATAATAAACCCTCCTAAGCACATCCACACGTGTTTCTCTTCCTCAAGTACCAGAGGGACAGCTGCCAGGCTGAGTGTGGCAGGTGAGTGTGAGGCAGAGGGGCTGGAGCAGTGGCTGAGTGTCCCTTGCCCTGTCACCCCCTGCTCACTGCTGGGGAGTCTCTGCCTTGGCAGGGGCCCTCTCAGCTCAACTGGGGGATTTCTGGAGCAATCTGCCATCAAACACAGCAAGTTGTGTTGTAGCTGCTGCCAGGAATTCAAATCTCCTGCTTGTCATACGTGTCTTTTTGAGCTTCTGAAACTGCCTGCAGAGTCAACAAGAGAGTGTTTCCCTCATTCCTCACTTAGGTTCAGGAGTGGGGAGTATTAAATCACTTTTGCGTTGGTGAGAGCAGGAATCCCAAGACACAGATGTTCTCTCAAGATGTCTGAAGTTAAGCACTCAGATTCAAGTGCATGATCTAGAAAAGCTGAGAGTGTAAAAAGCAATTACAGTTTCAGAGAAAATTCATTACTGAATCTAAAATACATCTGGGAATTGTAGCCTTTAAATGTTAGTACACAGAGGTAGAAGGGAGCTCACATGGACCTACTGAATGGCTGATTCTGCTTCTACACCAGCTCTGCCCCAGCACTGGAGACCTGGACCAGATGATTTGTGTTGATAGTGAGCTGTGAATTCTGGGCAGAAGAGGGAGGAAGCCATCCATGCTCTCCCTTCGTCTGTGCTGCTTCATTTTGCTCTCAAACTAATGTCATCTTCAGCGTCTCAACTGTCTCGTGGCTCAGGAAGCCCAGTCTGTCCTACCTCCTTTCTGTGCTGTGTTCACATCCCAATGATTCCTGCCCAAGTTCTCCAGGAGCTCCCCTTTCCCTGTCAGGGCTGGGGTAGTTTCTCAGAAAGCCTCCTGAGCTCCTTGGTTCATTCCCATCCCCATTTTACTGCACACCCTGTGCCTCTCCCCCCATGTTCCCGTGGATGTTCACCGGCCTGCGGAGTCACCCAATGGAGGAGTGGTTAGAAATTCATGCTCCCCTTTGGGTTATGAATTCTTGAGCAAGCAGTTAGTCTGTGCATATTTGGGTTGAGCTGATGCTGAAAGCAGGGCTGTTCCCAGAAACTGTGTCTAGATATGCTTGTTTGGTGTAGAGCCCTGTGGTGCACACAGAGCTGGGGGGCACCAGCTTTACCCCTTGTACAGAATCCCTTTTACTGTGGAATTCATTTCTTTGGCAATTCAGTCAAGAACACTTCATGCCTTGCTTTCCCCATGTGCAGAATGGAGACAGCACCTCCTTACAATTTAGGAAACTGGGAGACTTCATTGACTGATTTCTGCAAGCTACTTATGCTCTTACCTGGAAGATACTGTAGAAATATTTATAAACAAGGCTTGAAAAACATAAGCCCCTGGGTGAAAGTGTTTGTGAGCTCCTGCCATGCAGGAAGTCAAAGAAGCTGCCTCTGGCTGTGAAATATTTTATCTGTTAAATATGCACACCCACAATTATCCAGGTTTCATTATTTTACACATATGTGCATTCTAGCAAGGCTCTGTTGTGGTTTTTGTGCTGAGAATATGGGCACATTTCCATTCCCACACATCATGGGGCCCTGCTTGGACAAAAGGAACACCTCATGGAAGAACGAGGGCTCTGGATGTGGGAGCAGGGCTGCTCCTAGAGCTGAGTGTATAAAATTGGTGCCATCTTATTTAAAAAGATGCATTTAGGTGTAATTAAGTCATACTTACTTAGTGTAGTACAAAAGCTGACAGTATGAGAATGCTGTAATTAATTCCAAGTTGTGTTAGCATATTCATTGGCACAAGGTGAGCTTCCAGTAGTACTTGCAAAACATGCCCATATTATGTAGGAAATATAAAGTTTTTTAAAAAACCTCTCATATTTATAAAACACCTTTCTTTTTTGGGATTGGGCTTTGGGTTTGGTTTGGCTTTTTGCAGCCTAAGGCCTGGATGTCACACGTGCTCCAATTCTGGAAAGCGTCCTGGTTCTGAAACCCCGTTACCCTGGGTGCTGAAGTTTGAAACAACTGACAGTCAGACTTAAGATTGAGAACATCTTCAGCTACTTTCTCTAAACTGAGCATTAATTTTGTCCAAATTAATCTTTGCAGCTGTCACTCCCTCAGCTCAGTCTCACTGTGGACACAGCACTGCTGACATTACTGAACAAGTCTCTGCTTGTCTTATCTTCAGTAGCAAAAATTGGTGATCACTTCAAAGGCCTAATCTGAAACTGCATTGATGTTTGTAGTGAATGTTGATTTTCTTCCATTAAGACATTGCATGTGTAAAAGTAAATATATGTATATGCACACAATACAGGCACTTGCTGGAAAAGCAGAAATGGAGATTCCTCTAAGGTGCTCTTCTGTGGTCTTCCAATGTTTCCTAACCAGGAATTGTAGAATATCAAATTATAACAAGCAATGGGATTTTATTTATTTGTTTTGTTTTGTTTTTTTGCAGCTCCAAGAAAACCAAGATGAAATCGAGAATATGATGAACTCTATTTTTAAGGGTATATTTGTTCATAGATACCGGTAAGGAAATGCTAACAAAGTACAGCCATAACAAATGGCAGGGGCAGGTTCTGTGCTGATTCTCTTGAGCTGTAATATTGTAGATGCCACAAAAGCACTATGAAAAACACTTGAAGTTGTGAAAGAACATATTAAGTGTAACCCCCTCTTAATTCTACAATAGAGCCCATCCACACAACTTTGTTCTAATTCAGTAAAATGGCTTTAAAGAGCTGTGGGAATGTGGGCTTTGAATGTCTGTGATTTGAAAAGAAGAGTTGTCCAGGGTGGGAGCTCAGGCTGGACATACCTTAAATTCATCAAATGATCACTGCATATCTTGGCTGCTGAGTGTCTTTAGCCTTCCTGGCCTTTTGTATGGCTTGGATGTGAAGCAGATTGGGAATATGGCTTGTCAGAGAGCAGAAGTCTTTTAAAATAGATTTAGGGTAGTTCTACATCACAAGATGCCTCAGAGCATCTGCAGCACCTTAGTGCAACCAGCTCTTTAAATGTTAATTGACTTACTGAAGTCAGAAGATAAAATTCAAGGATACTAAACTATGCAATTAACCTTTCAGTTTTAAATTCTGGTTTAAAGTTTTGGAATTTCTGAAATCTTTTAGAAAAATGACAGAAAGCAAGAAAGGGTGTATGAGCAGAGGGTTAGAAGGTGGTGAGGAGCCCATAGTTCAGTTGGACAGAGGAGTGATTGTAAATATGGAGAAAAACAAGCAGGAAAGCTGGACAGGTTTGTGCTGAGAAATATATGAGTGTGCCCCGTGGAGCTGGAGCTTGGATCTTCAGTACCCAGCCTGGTCTGGAAGGGAAGGTTGTAGTTTATGGTCAGTAAGCCCTGAGCTGCCTGGCAACAGAAGGGTGGGTGTAGGGCCAGCAGGTAGAGGAGTGTGTTGGGTCAGCAGAGCACTCACTGTTTCCTTAGGAAAGCAGCTTCCATGACAGGGAGGTAAAAAAGCTAAAGAAATTAAACCCTAAGAGTATTCCCATTTCTGTCCCCTCAGAATTCAGCATGTTATATCAAACAAGAAGTCACCTGAAAATATTTTCCTAGTAGTTCATGCTCTTGTGTGGGGTTGGGAAAAGACTCTACCTGTTACAGTCTGGTTTTATCCTCCCAGGCCCAGGGGGATAAAAATGGAAAGCATTTCAAACTATTATCTGCTTTCATAATTTCTTAGGCATTCCTTCTCTCAAACAGTTCAAATGTTTTATAAACTTGACATGATTTTACAGTCCTTAGACCAAGTGGTAATGACTACAAAAGAATGTTATTTTAATTACTCCTAGAGAATAAATCCTGTCCCATAATGGGATTCAGCCTCAGCCACAGTGATTCATGCCTAGGGACCTTTGTAACTTAAATTACAAGTCCTTGATCTAAACAAAACCCCCAGAACTCTTTCATTCAGAATGTCTTCCTACTGCTGTTCTTTCTGTAGATTGGCTTCAAATGTACTGGAAGATTCCAATGCTCGCTTCTCTCATTAAATAAAAAAAAAGACTTGCAGAAATAACTGAACAGTGTTCTAGGTGTGATGCTAGTCTAGTGTTAACAGCAGATTTGGTGGAAAATTGAGATATTCCTAATAAACATGCAAGAAATGTCCTCACCTCATTGCATATTTCCTTATCTTGTTCCTGAATCACTTTTTCTCAGTATTTCTGTGCTGGTTTGTGACATATTTGGTTGTCCATTAATTTTATTTTTAATCTAAAACTGAGAGCATCAAAAGGAAGACATGAGAGTAAATTCAGGGTCAAGGTGCTGAGCTCATGTTGACCGTAAAGCAGCAGAGATGGTGATGGGAAGAATTCTGATTACAGTCCTACTTCATAATATCCTTTTGTTTTCAGTGCTCACAGAGCTTTTTCTCCAGATGTGACTGTCTCCCAAAACAGAACTAGGACAGTTTTGGCTTCTGGCAGAGCAGAATGGGGATCCTGGGCCTGAGGGACACGGTGGGTGCAGGGTTTCTGCAGGGCACTGAGCTGTCCTGAGGGAATGTTTGGGCAGGACTGACAGTAAAGGTAAAACTGGCAAAATCTAGATGACGTTCTGTTTTTATGGGGAAGGTGCTTGTCTCCTTCCAAGGTGTTGCTTTCCCTCCTGCTGAGTAAATAGGAGGCTGGTGACAAGTTACATGGGAATTGCACTCTGGGAAACCAGAGGGTTGCATGAGCAAAAACTAGAGGGGATATTGGATGGCAGTCTTGTGAGGAAGCAAAAACCAGTCAGCACAGGGAAATGAAAACCCAAACCAAACCAGAGAAAAATCCGTTTCCCTCCACCCTAAATGTGTTATCCTAAGGAGGTGAAACATATCTCCTAGGTGACAGGAAAATGTATTATGGTTTTATGTCTTTATAGAGTCCGGAAAAAAAGGTAGAAAAGACATTTTTGTCCAGTTCTCCTCATAATTATATCCTCAAAAAGTTTACAAACTACTGAGCAGCCCAAGAGACAGGCCCAGCTGGGTTCAACTGGCAGTGGTATGTTATTGTAGAGCTGCAGCATTCCCTGTCCCTTGGGTGAGTGGGAATTTGGGATTCCAGCTCTCAGAAAGCCCCAGGCAGGTGAGGCACCCTCCTGTTCTGTCTTTGAGGAAGTTGCATCACGGGGGATCTCTTTACCAAGAGTAGGAACTATGACCAGGAGCTAAACTGTATTGAACTGTGTAAAGATTAGAAGAATTAGAGTTTAATGACAAGGAATTATCTGATGCACAGAAAGGCATAAAGGTTTTTGGGCTGTACTGTGTTTGTGGCAGCATTGTATGGGCATGGAGTCTGTGTTAGTGATTCCTGCAAGGACACAAAGGATTTGAATTGGTGAGAGTTACCTGGGAGATGCTGGTGGGGTGGGAAAGGGTGCCACACAAGTTCTGCCTCTTCAGCAACTTGAGTGTGTTTGCTAGTCCCACATGCCTTATTCATGGTTCTTTCCCCTTTTCAATTACACTGAAGGTGTTAAATTTTTATTACACTAAAATCTTTTAATCAGTGGAATAGCCTTTTTTTTTTTTTTTTAAATTAGCAGCTTGGAGTGAGTGTCTGTCCATAGTGCCTGGGGATCCCAGAGGAGCTTTTCAATCAAGAAGCAGTTTTTCCCTGTCTGCCTGGGGAAGATTGAATGCATGCTTACAGAAAACATTGTTTCTCCTGATTTTTGGCTGGCTGTGCTGCACGATTAAATAGTTGTTGACATTTGGGTTCTTTTTGGGATGGCCATTAAATCCTTCCAAAATTCTTCACAGTCAGTAAATTTCTAAGGTGGTGAAATACCCTACTTGGATGTGAGGCCCTGGGCTGTCATCCCCTCCTGGAAATGCCTTTGTGGCTCCTTTGTGTTGTTGTGGCTGCCCTGTTTTCTTGATTCACACAGGCCAGTCCTTTAGACTGTGCTGTAAGTCTTGCATTCTTGCTTTTAAAATAGTTGTAGAGTAATTCCATACAAGGGAATTGCTAATCTAGTTTAGTGTAAAGCAGTACACAATTAAATATATATGTATGAATATATTCATGGTTTTAATTCAGACTTGTCTCCATTGTGCTGCATTCCCCATAACGAATGCAACTGCTAACCCTTGAATGTGAGATTTTAGCACAACTGTCCTTACACTTCTCAGCCTGTTTGAGAAATGCCCATCCTGTGGTTTGTCTGCACTGTGGGTGGACACCTGCCCTGGTTCTGAGGTTGGAGAGCCTTCAGGGGGTGTGTCAGAGCAGCTCCAGGGGCCGTGTTTGGCAGTTCTGAAGTCGGTGTGTGTCTCGTGGGCAGGGAGGGCTGGCAGCGGTTGGGACCTTCCCCAGAGTTTCCCTCCCATTCCTGCAGCAAATGCCTGCTTTGTGCTGGTCCATCAGCACAGTTTCCTCCCTGGAGTTTAGAATTCCTGTAGAGGTTTCCCATCTGGCCCTGTGGGACACTGTGACTCCTGTGGAGCTGTGGGTGTCACCGGAGTCTGGAAGGTCATGGACAGAGCAATGGCACCGAGGGAGGTGGAAGTACATGGGCAGTTCCATTATGGAGTGATCATGGCTTTGTTACACTGCTTTGGGGGTGTGAACTTGTGCAAGAAGTGTCCTGACCATAAGAGTGAGTGTATTTTATTTATATTTGGTAAAATTGAAGACTTTAGGAAAAATACATTTTCTCTTATTTTGCAGTTATTCTCTTACTTGGAGCTTGGAATTTCTCTCTTTCTTTTTTTCCTGTAAATTGAATTTCATTTTGGGGCTCTGTTGGTCTGTTTTAGAATTAAATTGATGTTTATTACTTTTCTGAGAAGATTTTTTTAATGAAAATACAGAACAAGAATCTCAATTACAAGCAAGTGCAGTGTTTGTTAAGCACCAGGCATTCCCTTCTTCTGTGCAGTGGCTCTTTCTGTTCCTCTTTTATTGCAGCTGAAGTTTGGAGCTGTGAAGCAGTGCCAGCTGGAGTGGCACAAGTGCTTTCTCACAGTAGCAGATGTCTCAGAGCTGAGATGCCTGAAGGGCCAGATGGCCCCAGTCCCTTTCCCGTTGTTGAGCCGTCGTTCCTGATTAGTGGCTGTGCCTTGCTCCCTGTCAGGCAGGCACAGAGTGCCAATCACATGGAAATCCTGTCCATCCCTCAGCTCTCTGGTGATCTCTCCAGACACTTTCCTGCTGCCCCTCCTCAGGGAGCAGCTGCTGAGCCTGCCTGAGATGTGTCTCTGCCTCTCCCATCACTTACCACAGTCAGAATGTAGGAGAAAAGCAAGAAAACTGGAGGAAACCAATGTTGAAGTGCAAACATTCCCCTAGGGTTTGGGGTAGGGCTCTCATGTGGGGCATGAAATGATATCTGTTTATGTACCAAATTCCATTCTGCTCCTCTGGCAGGTGCCTTTGGTTAAACCAAATAACTTTTCCCACTTTGCAGTGGTTCTGCACCTCGAGCTGGAGACAGCCAGGGCTGCAAAGCAAATGTCAGGGACATGGTTTCAGAAACAATTGTCCAGAGGAGGTCTGTAGCTTGGATCATAATTCTCTTTGAAAAGAGAGAGGTAAAAATTGGAGTTATAGACTGTGAAGCAAACTAGGCTGAGAATTGTTTTACACAGTGGAAATATCATATCAGAATATAGAAATACTGAAATTATTAGATCAGTGAGTTCAGGGACAAAGGAACAGAAAACCAGTGAGATGGCAGTGGGAACAGTGACAGGTCTTACCTAGTGAGGCTCATCAAAAGTAAAAGCACAGTATTACAGATAGGGCAAGGGGATTGAGAAGTAAATGCTCTGTACTCTGGTTCATACTTGTTCTGTCCTTTTTTCCTTGGTAGTGATGCTATTGCTGAGATTAGAGCTGTCTGTATTGAAGAAATTGGAGTCTGGATGAAGATGTACAGTGATGCCTTCCTGAATGATAGTTATTTAAAATATGTTGGCTGGACACTACACGACAGGGTAAGTATTGTGTATTCCTGCCCTTGTGTTACTGATATTACTGCCCAGGCCATGCTTTGTGTATCGTCCTTGGCTTACAAAGACATTGTTCTGTTTTCTAACCTGCTCCCTTTAAACCAGGCTGTCTCTAGGGATGTGCTTGCACTGGGATGCAGCACTCCCAGGCTGCCTGGGTTCCTCTGCTGTTGGTGTTCTCAGGCTCTGATGGAACATGCCTTTCTTCTGATTACAAGAGAAAGAGAAGCCTCCTTGGGCCACTCATGAGAACCTCTGTCTGAAGCAGAATGGAACAGAGATTTCCACATGTCTTCCATTTACATTGATCAAAGGTTAGGGGCAAGAACATCTCTGGATCCCCAACAGACACCACTGGCTCCACAACCAGTGGAGTTCTCATCAATTCACTTTCCCTTGAAGAGTCTTTTCAAGGTTCCCTTTAGCTTTTTCTTCAAAAACTTGTTGAAATGCCAGGTGGAGGCAAAAGGATTTGTATCCAGAGGGGCTTTTCTGTGTCAGCACAGCTCTCAGTGCTGGTGGCACCCACAGCACACCGTGGGGTGGGAGCAGCTCTGAGACCCACCAAGGTCCTGCAGCAGGAGTAGCCCCTTCTGAACACTGGTGGAGCAGGGCTTTGCACTCTGGCTAGGGGGAATTTGTATACCAGGCAGAAGTAGGACTGGCTGTCCTCCTACTCCCACCAAAACCTCTAGAAACACTTGTTTTACTCTAAACTCTTTGCTAACATTATCCAAGGAAAACAAAGGAGACCTACCTGTGCTGTTGAAATGCTCATTAAATTCCAGCATCCTGATTCAGACCATTCTCTTCTTCTAGAAGCACTGGTGGAAGAAATCAAAAATTTTCAAGTTCATTCTGATGACTTACATAACTGATATCTAACAGCTGATTCTTTAAAAAGATGATTTTTCAATAACTTCAAACATCATATTAACACAGAGGATATGACTCGGTCACTTGTTTGCTGAATCACAGAATATTCTGGGTTAGAAGGGACACATAAAGATCCTCAAGTCCAGCTGAAGAAGTCTGAACAAGATCAGTTAGAAAGGCTTTCACAACTGGAAGAAGTTGGCTGCTGCTGGTTCTTGCAGCTACAGCTGACAGGGATCTGCATTCTGCCTTGATTTGGATGAGCAATTTCCTTGTTAAGAGTATCCTTTATGCTCTAGAGACTGGACATGGGATTTCTTCCTCTCTAAACGTGAAGTTCTCAAACTTTTTCTTTACAAACTTTCCCCAAACTTTTACATTAGATCTCATTGTAAGAAGTTGAGCAGGAGGAAGATCCTGCTCAGTGCTGCACTGGACCCCGAGCAGTGTGGAGTCCAGAGACACAACCCTGTGTGTCAGGAAAGCTTGGACATGGGAACACGGCCATCCCAGGGCATGGAGGCAGAGCTGCTGCTCCAGCTGTGCCCCCTTGGTACCACTGTGTGCCTCACTGGTGCCATGCTCCAGGAGGGAAGATAAATCAGTGGGGAGGGCAGCTCAGAGGGGAGCATTAGCATTTTACATGTGCTGGAGGGCTTCACTTTTTACTGGGACTTATAATTTAAAATAAATTCTCCCTTGAATAATTGCAGTGCGATTCTGGGAGCACATCCTGAACCTTGCAGAACATTTCCACAAAGCAGCACTTGCAGAATGTGGTCAGGGTTGCAGCTGGCAGCTCTCAGCCCCTTGCAGTGTGTGTGAAGTCCATCCATCTCTCCCCTCACTCCTTTAACCATCTGTGAAATGCAGCCGTTCCTCACGGCGCTGTCTCTGACTGGTGTCAGCTTCCCACACCCTTATCTGTCACATCCAGAGATTTCTCATGTCATGTCCAATACTTTCTCACATCCTCTTCAGTTAGTTTAACCTCAGGCCAGGGTCTAAGTCATCTGCCTGCAGCCTTGACATATGTTTACACCTCAGCTTTTTAAAAATCGACATGTTCCTTCATGTTCCCTCACCAGAGAAATTTTAAATTATGGTGTTATGGTAAAAAAATGGCCCATCTGGACCAGGCACAGAGGAATCCTGTCAGGCTGCTCTCCTGCCTCTGCTCTGGAGTATTTGTCATTGCAGGCCTCAGAAGTGCCTTGGGTTTTAAGTCTTTAAATCACTGGTTAATCTGTTCAATGTGAAGGTATATGTGATAGGTGATAGTTTTTGTTGCTGCAGTGTATATTTGATGTATAGAGTGAGACAGATTGTGAGTACAATGGGAAGAGTCTGAGGCAGGTGAGCCACGTGTCAAAGCATGAAAAGGGAGAGAATGGAGAGAAAGAGACATTTGGGGAGGCACAGAAAGGAGAGGAGGAAGGTGCAATGGGAAGAATAGATTGGAAAAAGATGGAATAAGAACCAATTAAAAATGCAAACCATCCAGAAGTACAAGATCCCTTAACAGCCTGGTTTTCATTGGCACTGCCTGAAAAACTTCCCAACTGGTAGCCAAGTTCTTTGATTTTGCTTGGCTTTGATCAGGAGACAGTTTTTGCTATGATTGGTATTTAAAATATTGAAAAATGAAGGTGGAGGGAATAGCCATGACGTATTGCATTTCACATGAACAGCAGTCACCCCAAAATGATCACCTTCTCTGAAGTTGGTGCTACAAAAAGGAGAGGAGGCAGCGGTGCAGGACATTGCTGAGCAGTTTCATGTTCTACTCCAGAAGACATACAAATGAAACCACAGAGAACACAGAAGTTTGGTTCTCTAATTTGGGAGATCCTTAGGTTTTGTATGTTAATCCTGTCTCTTTCTCAGATTTTAGACAAATGTCTATAGGGCTTTTTGGGTTTTGTAGATTCTCATCTGAATGTGGGTTTCAAGGTCTGCCTTTCTCTCCTTTTAAGCTTTTTTTTCATTCCCACGTATCTGGAAGCATAAATTAAATGTTTATCAACTATAATATAATTACATTTAAAAAACCTCTTTAAAAAAAAAGTGTTAAATCAGACTGTTCAGTCTTAATTTTCTTCTGCCTCATTGATGCCTGGAAGTGTTTTGAAACCATAATTGTGTCTCTAGATACCAAGACAGTCCTGGTTCTTAAACCAGTTCCTAACACATCCAAACCCACATTTTCCTTCTTTGCATTCCTCTCCTTTGCTTATTGTCTATTCCTGTGAAAAGGCTGAACCCAGGCTCCTCTGAAGCAGATGTTCCTCTTGTGCTCAACCTCCTAATTAATAACTAAGTTCATCTCTTAGTTTACTAAGTCTCTTCCTGTCCTTCCTGTCCCTCCTGCTGGCCTGAGTTTCTTAGGAATCACCCTAACTCAGCATTCCCACCCACGTCCTTCCTCACTAGAAGGTGTTTGGGTGTTACAAGCTCCTGGTCCTTGAATGATTCTCATAGACATCAGCAAACTTCTTGTGTCTGGCCTGGTGCTGCTCTGTGGCACATGGCTGCTCCTCCATTCTGGGCTTAGTGTATCCACCTTCACTCCTGCCTTTCTTTGCTCCTTGTGCAGGTCATTGCTGTTTAGGCTTCCCAGGGTGTTCCTGTACCTCATCTCCACTGACTTTGTTTTAAATCCTTCTTAACAGGATTAACAAGCTCATGTGCAGGGGCTCTTCTCGCTCCAAAGAGGTGGATTCCATCCTTGACCAGCAGTTTTAAAACCAGACCTTTAGGCTATCAGAGAGAGTCCTCTCCCTCTCATTCTCCTGCCAGGAAGGGCAGTTGTTTTTTGGGGAGTGCCTCTGTGTCTGCTGGTCCCTCTCTCAGCCAGAGGGACCAGGTGTGACAAACCTTTCTCTCCTCCTCCCCTGCTCCTGCGGTGCCTCGGGCATGGGGAGTGGCAGGACAGTGCCCTGGGCCAGGACACTTCTGGCAGCCCCTGGCTGGAGTCTCCTGGCAGGGCACACAGGGACCCAGGGTCTGGGTGTGCTTCCAACCTACTGGGCTCAATTTGCTCTCTTAGGCCTCACAGAGACCCTCACTATTAGGCCTGGACTGAGCTCTGGGACTGTTGATCCATGAGGGCTTTGGGCTCCACGGGCAGCCTGAACCTTTCCTGCACAGGCCTTGGGGCTCTGCTGTGGGCACCGGGTTTTGAGTTTTGCATTTCGGGTCCCTGGCCCTCTGCTCACAGAGGGAACAGCCTTCAGGGAGCTGGAACTGAACCTGCTGCCTCAGTGCAGCTTTGGAGTGCTCATCACATGCCAGAATAACCTGCTCCTGACCATCTGGGGCTCAGTAAGCTGAGGCCAAGAGAGGCTCCCAGTCCTGTGAGGGGATCAGCACACAGCAGAGGGGACACCATTTCTGGCACTGCAGCACAGGCACCACTGAGACAACAGCAAGCAGCACTTCTCTGTGCTTTTGTGGCACCAGATCACATCCATATAGAACTTTTTTTCAAGGAAGTTATTTTCTGTACCTTGAAAGATCTTAATGCTAGATCCTTTTAAACATAACTTTCATCTCATTGACTTTCTCTGCAGTGGTAGTCAAAAAGATCCCAGGAAGAGAGCATGGCTGCTCAGAGACTCCTCATGGATGTAAAGAGATGATTTCTCAGGAACAATAGTTCTCATGGAAATTCTGAAAATCCAACTTCTGTGCTTCTTTTATCTTCTATTTCCATTTTTGAAATAGGTGTGAAGGAGGAAAGAAGCTTTAAAAAATTTAAAAATAAGGATTTTTTATCTTCTGTTTTTATGTCAGTCTCTGAATGTTCTTTCAGTTTTTAGCTTGAGGATTTTTAAAATACAGACCTGATTATAGAATAGACAAATTCAGAAATCAAGCCCTTTGGGTATGGAGCTTTATTTATGAAGTTCAATAATTAATTTTAGCTCTTGAGCAGCTAAAGGCCTTAGACTTGGTAGTGTCTTCACTTTCATAACAGTAAGTGCACACTGCAGTGAACTCTACAGATGAAATTTGAGTAGATTTGTGTTTATAACCTTTTTGCTATCTACAAATATTTTCCAAAAAGAATCCCTAGTTTGCTTGGACTGTGCAGTGGAGTGAAGTTGTGGACCTGCAGCACAGGGGGATCCAGCCCTTCCCTTCATCAGGGGTGTTGCTGTAGGATAAAAGCCTGGATCCATAGGCCCTGTGTGGGATCCCCATGTTTGCTGCCTGCAGCCCAGCAGTCCCACCTGAGGAGCAGCTGGGCATGAGCTGCCACTGGAGGGGCCCTCAAGCCTCTTCATCCTCCAACCTGTGCTGTCCTGTGCTGAGAGATGGGGCTGTAGAACTTCCAGGAAACACATCCAGGGTGCATTCCCTGTGGCCCTGCCCTGGGAAATGGTGGAGTTGCTCAGCCCATGCTCAGTCATTTTGAGCACTGATTGCAAACAGCAGCTATCAGCCCTGAGGTACCTGGATCTCTTTCCTGAAGCCCCACTGCACCAAGCCCTGCAGATTGGACATCTTCAGTTTGTGTTTGCTTGCTGCTGCCTTTGTCTTTTTGTGGAGTTACTTGAAAGGGAAGCAATAAATGGCATGTAAGTGAAGGCACATTAAAGTCTTTCCATATGCAGATAGGGAGGAAGTTCTTACATTTAGCTGAATTGCAGGTTGGCTTTGGTCATCCATTTGCATAAAATTTTAAATGTCTGTTAAACAAATTACATGATGATGTTCTTTAATATTCATGTGCATTTGATGAGTGTATTCTATCAGCTAATCTTGCTGTGTTTTGTTTAGCAAGGTGAAGTGAGGTTGAAGTGTCTGAAAGCTCTTCAGAGTCTGTACACCAACAGAGAGTTGTTTCCCAAACTGGAGCTGTTCACTAATAGATTCAAGGTAAGAGGAAATACAATTTTTGGAAGGAGTACAGAAAGTAAAAGTGTCCTCATCCTGTTGTGGTCTTTGAGTCATGTCTATTAAATGCAAAAATAAACTCCTTTGTGGCAAGGCTTGTACCTGCACTAGCAAAACTGTATTACTGAGTGCTGAGATGAAGCCAAATCCATTTTACAGTTTTTATCCTGTGAGATTTGTCAGACTTGGCCAGGATGACTATTTATCTGTTTGTATTATTGATAGCTTATATATTGTCATTACTCAATCTGCCTGTACTTACTTAAATTTAGATTTATTGAATTTTAAGGACATGTACTTACACAACCTAAAATATATCTGAAAGTAACAGGCTATAACAAAAGATTGGTTGTTCCACAGCTTTTTAGCTCAGTATGTGGTGGTGTTTGAAGGGAGACACACTTGGGACTGCATCCCAGTCCTCCAACCAGTGAAATCCCTTTTGCTGCAGAAGTGGAGTTTCCCCTGTGCTTCCAGACAGCCCCCTGAGCACAGCTGTCCTGTTCAGGAGAGAAGTGCTGGAGGAGCAGCTCACAGGTTTTCATTAGCACAAACTTTTTGCTTAATATCTGGCTGAGAGTGTGGCTGTTAATTCCTTTTGTGGCACGTCTGCTTCATTTCCCAAGTGGAGTGTCTGGAGAGCTGAGTGTGGAAGTGCTGTCCTTGCTCCTCTGGGATGCCTGGTGAGAGGGAAGCTCTCAGGCCCTGTCACCACATCAGCTGGCACCTCTCATGTTTCCTTGCTGTTCTGGAGAGCACAGAGCTGTGGGAAAGGCTGCCCCCCGAGGAAAGACTCATTTATTTTGCTCTAAATCATGATTATAATGCTGATGATAAATTCTGTTTAGAAAAGTAGAGATTTAAATACTCATAAATACAAGACTTAAACTTCTCCCCATGTATTTTATACTGCTTCACTGGTTTTGTCTGTCATTGCAGTGGCTACGAACTCCTCCAGTTTGATATAAAAAGCACAAAATATAGAAAATTTTCCATCTTCCATGGATGGAAATAAAATGGATGGAAAATAATTTATAACATTATAAATTTATAACAATTATAAAAAAAATTTATAAAAACATAACAGTAATCAGCTTTTTACCACATTCACTTGAGATGGAGAAAAAAGATGCTTAACCTGCAGTAAAGTCTGAAGATTAAGGAAGGCTTTTTGTCCAAAATGATAGTTATTTAACAGAGCAGACTCCTTATTAAAAATCTCTGTCATTTAAGATTGTTAAGGGCAGATTAAATAAATAGGACTGAACTGGGTATAGTTGACTTTAAAGCAGGAGAGATAACTGGATCATTGTGTGAGATCAGCTGAGGGCCTGCATTTTTCTGATTTTGGAAAGTCAGTTTCTGGGACTGCTGCAGTAAAACCAAAGCTTCCTCTTACAGAAAAGTCCCTGGCAAACAGGTTCAGACCTCAGACTATGTCTCTAATGCCTCCCTAAGTCTGGTTTGCTTTATCATCTTAGGACAAGCAGAAAAATGGACCCTCCAGCTTTCCTGTTCTCTCTGTGCAAATTTAGATTTGTTTATATTTGCTCCTTCTGTAATTCCATTGATTTTGAAATAGGCCACAAAAGCTCTCATGGTCTCTCTATCTGGTTCTCTTTACGAGACAATGTGCTGGATGTTTCTCCCTCAGCCTCCCAGAAATTGTGAACTGCCCTGAGGCTGAACCCATCCTGTCCACCAGCAAACCTTTTCAGGAGACTGGAGGCACTGGGAGCAACAGTTACTCAGTACTGTAGCCCAGAAAACTGGGGGGGGCATGAAAGCTCTACATACATCCTCCTGGCTTTTCCCAGTGCAGACAGTTTTCCCAGAGGAAGCTGGGTTAGCCTGTGCACTGCTGCTGGGTTGGGATGGCACGAGGAACTTTCGTTGCTGTCCAAAGCAGTCAGAGGGAGGGGAGCCCTGTCTGGAATCCTCACTGTCCCTTTGGAGCTGGTTTTACTACAGAAGTCTGTATCATTCTGAGATAAATAAGAGAAAAGGTGAACTCCAAGTCTCTGTGAGCCTAGAGAACAGCATTGTTCAACACAGTGATTTCTCAGTTGCAGTTCCCAGCCACATCAAGAGAACAAAAGCTGGCATGGCCCGAGAGCTGCCCTGGGATTTACAGCTATGCTGACAGGGATGTGGCCTCTGGCACCAGGAGCGAGCAAAGTCTCAAATTAATGCTTTTGGAGGCTGTGATACATCAGTTAAATGTCTTGCCATCACAAACTCTACCACCACCTCTTTGAAAAATAATTGACCTGAGTGCCATTTGCAGTTCCATGGCTGCTTATTTATATTTCCTCATCAGAATTAAATCGACCTGCACACTTTAGCTGCTGTTCAGCTCAATCCATTCAAACTGTCAAGAGAAGTCTCTCTAGAGGTCTTCTGGCTCTTTAAAGAATAAATTAATTTGATCCAGAGTGCCTTGTGCTGGGGTGTTAATATTTCACCACCTTTCAGATAGCTGTGTCAAAGGATCTGCTCGTGTCACTTTGCCAAAGGAAAGTTGTAGGTGATATGCTAGAAAGTAAGCTTTGTCCATCAACAAAAATGTTGTCCATCAAAGAGGAGACTTGTTTTCCATCAAGAGATCCTTTCTGATACACACATTAACTGAAACCATCAGTGCCAAAGCCAAGACACCAGGAGATTTAGGTGCAGCCCTTGAATTCCTGTCCCTCGTCCCTGACCCTGTGCAGGACAGTTCTGTCTCCGTGGCCTGAGAGGCAGAAAGAGCAAATCTGTATTTACTCCTCAGTCTGACTTGTTCACAGCCTAATGCAGAGTGGAAAACTGATCATCATAGGCACTGAAAATTAATATTTCAAGTTCTGAGTACAGGCCTGTGCCTGCTGTGCAGCTGTACATGGTACAGGGAATCTCTGCAAAGGCAGATGGAGCAGCTGGACTTGGCAACTTCCTAAAGCACAGAGGTCACACCTGCAGAGCCATTCGGTGTGCAGGTCTCTCTGGTGCCTGGCTGGTGGCACACCAAGGCAGAAAACAAGAAATGACACTTCCACACTGTTTATTTTAAGCCTGATGTTTGAGAGAATGGCCTTTTTGAATAAGAAAGCATTCCATCAGTGGGTTTCAAAGTGCCCAAGGACTCAGAGGGCCCCTCCTGCTCTGCAGGCAGCAGAGAAGATCCCCTCCCTCCCAGGCTTTTTCAGGGATGTAGAAGTTTTATACCTGAGTGCTTATTCCTTTGCATGCAGGTGGTTCCCTCCCTGTGGTATCCTGGAGTGTAAGATACACTTTGAGGGAGTACCTGGAATTCCACTGAAACATGTGAGATCAGTATCCCTGGCTGCTCTTTCTCTTGATGTTGTGTTGGTTGCTGTTCCTTGGCCAAGACCTTTGGAAAAATTAGGCAGCAATTTTTTGTCTTGTTCATACACAGGATTTCCTGTTTGGAAAGTTGTTTCACTGAGTCTCTTTGGGGACTTCTCACAGTCTCTAAAACTGTCAGGATAAAAGTTAAATGTATCAAATTCCCCAGGAACTTACTGTAGTTAATAGAGGCCCGTTCAGTCACAGTGACAAGAAGTGTCTCTGCAGCCCTGGTGGTGTTGGGAGGTGACACTTGGGACAACCATGGTGCATTCTTCACATACTGATCCAGAATTTCTCTTTTGAAATAAGCATCAGTTGCTTGATACTCCCCTTCAGCCTTTAAATGCCTGGAATAGAATAGAAAAGAGGTGAAAACCTTTCATTTGTCCTGATTTGTTCTGGTGATTTTCACTGTTGTTGCCTTACCCTTCCCTTGTTTCTTTTCCAGTCCCTGACTTCTATTTTTTCCCATCCCAAAATGTCATATAATACCTGGGCCTTCCTGAAGCAAGTTAAGCCAGAGAAATCAAGTTTTATTTGGCCCAGTTTCTTTTCATTAACTTGATCAGTCAAGCAAAGAGCATCAAGACACCCTGAATGTTCATGGCTGGATAGAAATTCTCCCCAGATAGGAAGGACAACATACACTAATCACAGCTATTTTTGTGCCAGTAAGCAAACTGAAACTAGGGAGAAAGAAACCCTTAGGAGACTTCTCATAAGGACAGGGTCCTTGAAGTTATAAAATCATTAGATTGGACTGCAAAGTGGCGTGCTTGTCTCCACTGGGAAGAGAACAGGAAAATACAAAGTCCAACCATGGAATTTCCTGCTCCCCTGGGGAACATCTGTAGTGTAGTTCTTGAGCTCAGCTTCAAACCTTAGGATGTAGCCTGGTGTAGAGGCCACAACTTTATAGGCAGTTTGCAACGTGAGTATTCAGTAGTGATTTCCTTCACAGTGTCTCCAGAAATGCAGCATTCCTTGCTCTGAAATGGTTTGGTTTCAGGGGAGTGGAGTGGGGCAATTTTTGTGCTGTTGTCCAACCCAAGTACATTTCTTTTCAGAGAAGGCCTGTTCAGCTAACCCAGCCCAGAAGAGTGCCTGAACTCCAGTGTCCTTCCTCAGTTGCTGGGGAGCACAGCTGGCTCGGGGCAGTCTGAGCAGCTGTCCCTGCCTGTTCCCTGGGCACAGAGCACTCGACTGTGCTCAGTGGGCATCGGATGGGCAGTGTCCAGTTGAAACACCTTTCTCCCTAGACTGTCTGTCTGTGATCTCTGGAGTTCTCCCTCTGGTAGCTGGTTGTTTGTGTGTGTCCCTGACATGCCATTCCCTTCCAGGACCGCATTGTGTCCATGACCCTGGACAAGGAGTACGACGTGGCCGTGGAAGCCATTCGATTAGTGACACTCATCCTGCAGTGAGTACTGCTCCAAACCCCCCTGTTTCCCTGGGGAATCACCTGGGCCAGCAGCATTCCACTGGCTGATTGCTTTGCTTGTGTGTTGGAGGGAATTTCTTACCTTACACTTTGTAAGAAGTTGAACTGCACACGTGGCAATAGGGACAGGAAGCTGAAGTAAGAGATTCTGTCTCATGGAAATACAGTAGGCAAAGTATAAAAATGTTTTGCTGTGTTGAGCTGTTGGTACCTCCGTTGTTGTGGAAGAATGCCAAGGGCATTTATGCCTTTTGCCCAGGGCAGAATGACTGTCCTCCCCAAAGCAAGTGCCTGTGGGTCCTCTTTGCTAAAGTAACTCAGTGAAGATCCAGCGTGGGGAGATTTGCTGGGTTACCTGACACAGCTGGAAAGAGAGGCACCTGGGAGAAGGTGATTCCAGGCCTCCAGCTTTCCCTTGCAGGGCTGCAGTGGCTTCCCTGAGGCACAGATCCAGCCCCAGAGCCCTCCCACGTGTGACTGACCCAGCCTATCCCCCCAGGCTCGTGATGTGCTGCTGGAGGGGCACTGCCCAGCTTTTGGGGTTATCCACCAAAAGCTGTGCTAAAGGAGATCTATTTGACAAACAGATGCACAAAAGTTTTGCTTCATACTTTATCCCCAGTAGCTCTACTTTAAAGAATGTTTTTGGACCTGCAGAATTTGGATGAAAGATTACAGTAGCTTTTCCTCTCAATAAAGAGATCTGAGCTTCTTTTTTTTATTTATGAGTCACTGTGCTTTACAGAGATTGGACTTGTAATATTAGGAAAAAAGGAAGTCTGGCATTTGCTGTCATATTTTTAAAGCAAATATAACAAATATGATCAGAAATGAGATGTAGAGCACTCCTATTTTCTACATTATTAGCAACATTTAGGAACACAGTAAGATTCAAGGACAAAAATTACCCAGTGCACCTCTTTTTGTCCTCTGGTTGCATGATGAAAGCCCAACTAAATGCATTTAGCACCAGAAGGGTCTGGGTCACACTGGTGAGCACAGGGCAATGTTCTGACAGACAGGAACTCCAAAAAGGTGTCTGGAGCAATCCTGGTGGGCAGTGACCAAGTAACCTTGTTTGTAGTGTGAGGCCAAGCTTTGTAGAGTCCTGCTAAGGAAACATTTCTGATGAATGCTGAGTGAACAAGGATGGAAGCAACACTCCTGATTGTGACAGTGCTTGATGTTTTTATATCGTTGATGGAATATAATAGTTCACAGCATTTTTCAAGAATGCTGCTGTGAAATGGGAGTTTTTCTGAGTTTCAGAAAACTCACACAAAATCTGCCTTGAACTCAGAAGCTGCAGAAGCCCCAGCTGAGTCTTTTACCCAAGACAAAGGTAAAAGGCGGCCTGTTCTTGTCAATAAATAATTACAGAAAATAAACTGTTCATCCTCCTTCATGCAGCACAGCAGGGTATGATCACATGCAGCTGCTAGGTGTTGAAAGGGAAGTCTGTCTGCAGTCAGACACTGAGCAGTGTACAAGGGAAAGCAGTTTATTGTATCAGCATTATTGGAGCTCCAACTGCCCCCCCCTACCCCGTTCAGCCCTGAAGTGGCTGTGTGTTGGTTTTTGGGGATGCTCAGTGCCAGGCCTCTGTCCCCACATCGTGGTGTATGTGACCTGGTGCCCAAATCCAGAGCATTTCTGTGCCTTCTCCCATTGCTGAGACAGTTTATCCACCTGGCCTGGCCCTTTCAGCAGCTGTAATTGGGAATATTCCTTCCTACCCCCCAGGCCACCTCCTGCCCCGCAGCAGGAACGTGCAGAGTGTCCCATGGAAAGATCTGCTCCTGGGCATGGAGCAGACCAGGAGGCTGAAGCAGGTTGTCCCAGGCCCAGATTTCAATACCTTAACCATTCAAAGTTTTGATAGCAAGCAAACATAGCCAGAGAAGTGAATAAGTTTAAGCAAGGAATTGCATTTTCCTTGTGTGATGCTCTGGAACAGACTGCCCAGGGAAGGGGTGGAATCACCATCCCTGGAAGTGTTGGAGAGGCCTGTGGATGTGGCACCTGGGGACATGGACTAGTGGTGACCATGGTGGTGTTGGGTTAATGGTTGGACTGATGAGCTTGGAAGTCTTTCCCAACCTAAATGTTTCAGTGATTCCAGGTTTTTAGTTTACTAATGTTTGATGAGTGTTTGGCATCTTCAATATTTATGGTTAATGTGATGGTCTAAGGAATGAGCAGGGTGGGATTTGGAAGCAGTGATTCTGATTTTTTCATAGTATTATTTTATCTCTATATTGATACAACTGGGAGATGGAAATCAGACCAACTTTCAGTCTTACAGGCCCTTTAAATACCTCTGTGGTTGGCAATTGAAGCAGAGATCCTTGAGGTCTGTGTTCAGCCATTTAGGATTTTGTAGGAAGGAAATCAGTCTGTCCAGAGTGAGTTGGGGGGGGTGAGGGGTTGGGAATGAAAGGTCTGCAGTGGTTCAGGTGTTACTTTCTGGCTCTTTCAGTGGGAGTGAGGAGGCTCTGTCCAACGAGGACTGTGAGAATGTGTATCACCTGGTGTACTCAGCACACCGGCCCGTGGCAGTGGCAGCTGGAGAGTTCCTGCACAAAAAGTAAGTTCCCGTTGCCCTGGAATAAGACCAGATCTGTGAATGCTTTCTAGACAGGTAAGATCAAAAGGCAAAGAAGCAATAGAGTGAAATATCCCTTAGCAAATCAGTTATTTAATTTAAACCAGAGATTTACTCTCTTGTCTAAAGTCAAGACCTGAAGACTTGAAGAAATTGAATTTGCATTTTTCTTACTCTAGAATCCAGGTAACTTTTCCTAACTCCTCCAAGGGTTAAATATACAAAGGCTGTATAAACTTCTAAGGTTTAAATCCTGCAGCACTCTCTGAATTACTGTTGTATGATGTGTATATGTAGGGCCTACATATCTGTTATGGTCTGCCTGATAGACAGTCATCATTTCTACCAAGCTTTAAATCACTTTATTTCAACACAGTGAACTTGAGAGAATTTGCTGTAGTAAATAATTACTAAGTTTGTTTCTGAACTCACTGACCTCCCCTGCGTTTCACCGTGGTTCCATTCCCATGTGCCCACTCTGCCAAAGGAAATGAGCTCCCTTTTCCCTGGATGTGAGTCACAGCACATCAGGAACTGTGACCAGGACAGTGCCGTAGCAGAGGAGTAACCTCTTCATTTTAGGGTTTGCAGTTTAAAATATTTTAGCAGGAATTTTATTCTTTCCCCTCATGGTTGTGACATTTAGAGTTTTTTAATATGTGTATAGAGAACCCAGCTTATCTGATCTTTCATGCCAAGATACAAATAGAAAAAAAAATACATAAAAACACCCATTTTCCTTTGCCAGTGTTCTAATTTTCTATGAATTTAGAAGTCCACATTGTATTTGTAAGCTTTCAGTGGTGGAATTCCAGCTTCATGATCAAGTATTATCTGTTTCAAGGAATGAGTTTACAAAATTCTGTTACATTTAGTTTCCTACATGACATTTCACATGTTATGGGAAAGTGTGGGGTTCTTTTTAAAAACATTCAGTGAAATTACTTTGTTAATCAACATGTGACAAAATAATTTTGAAAAATGCCTTGAAGATGTAAATGAGGACATGTTTGCACCTTAATGCACTCAGGGTAAAGACAAGACTTTATCCTGACTTTTCTTTACAGGATACTGTGCTGTGTTCTGTGGATGTCTCCCAAGGTAAAAGGCAGAGATAAGATTGCCCCATTCTTAACAACTCATTTTCTTTGGTTTCTGCGAAGAAAATCCCCAGTTAAATAAGTTGGAATCTCTTTGAGGTGTTTGAGGTGTGATGTGTCTCACTTGATTTTATACATTTCACTCTCATTTTCTCTGTGTAAGCTGTTGTTAGACCTGCTGTCTGTCCTTAGCAAAGAGAGCAAATAACACAGAGCTCTCTGACTCCCTGAGGGGCACGGCCTGAGGTTGTGCAGCACCTGCAGAGGGCTCATTTCTGGTCTGGTGAGGTAAGCAGGGGGACAAGGTGATGTCTTTACCTAAAATGCAACATTTGAGTGCAACTTGTACTCTCTTCAGGGAATTATAGCAGTGAAATCAGAATACTGTTTCATGTTCCAATTTGCTTTGTGATTGTGGTTTCCTTGGAAAAGCCAGGAACAGTTTTCAAACTTCTCCAAGTGAACCCCTCCTTGCAGTAACTGTCACGTGGGCCCAGCTGAGAGCTCCTTCAGCTGTGAAATTTGAGCATTGGGAGGGTTTTGAGGTTACCATCAGGGGCTCAGTGCAGAGTGGATCATTTACCTGTAAAAGCCCCAAGTAATGTTTTATCCTTTGTGCTGCCACTGGTGCCTGAGGTTGGCTGTTCCTGGGGTGTCAGGTTTGATTCCACCCTGTCCCAGTCAGGGTGAGCACTGCTGGAGGAAGTGCTACCACCACTGTAGGGCTTGAGAAGTTACCAATGCAAAACTAGACTGATGATGCAAATATTTAAAACTCTGCAAAACCCTTCAATATGTTTTGGAGAGCTTTTTCCTGGGTGAAATTCTTTCAGCCCTGTGAACGGGAGGACTCTGAAGATGAATCCATCTCTTCAGACAGGCAGAGGTCGTGCTCTCTTTCCCCTGAAAGAGGTAGCAGAGATACTTTCCCTGTGCCTTATGAGCAGTTCTGGTGTGTCAAGAAAGAATGCTCATCATTATTGCAGAAATGAGATTTGTTGTGATAACCATGAGAGCTCCTTTTGCTTATTTTCAGGCTGTTCAGCAGACACGATCCCCAAGCTGAAGAGGCTCTAGCAAAGAGGAGGGGGAGAAATAGTCCAAATGGAAACCTTATTAGAATGTTGGTTCTTTTCTTTCTTGAAAGTGAGGTAAAAAATTCATTTTAACCTTTACATGGTTAATAAAACCTGGAACTTAAGAAGTGATTTGACATCATAGAGTAATAAATTGTCTGTCTTTTCCTTTTTTTTCATATTTTCAGACATACTGTAAGCCCTTTTCCCTGCCCCAAATTCCCTTGTCCGTGAAGCAAATTCAGCTGCAAATCTTGGTCGTGGTTTATTTAGCTCGTGCATGTCCCCACTGTCCTCACACTGCCCTGCTGGTGGGGAAGGGCTGCCAGGGCTCTTGATTGCATACAAATGGAAAGGTTGTTTTTTTTTTTAGCATAACCATGCAAGGATAACACCCCTGGAGTTACTCCTTGTGGAGTAAAACAATTTGAACCAGGAAGGAACAAAAATTGCGGAATATCTCAAATTAATATTAGAATCCTCAATTAACTCAGTGGGAAGGACCTGAGAGGCCTTCAAGCAGAGTCAGCTGGAGATTAGAGGAGGCCCTCCAGGGCTTTGTACATCTTGAGAATGTTGGAGGGTGGAAATGCAAACAAGTGTGGTGACATGAGGTGCTAGATGAACACACCCAGGGGGAGTTGGGCCCATAGTTTGTGTCTGTAGACACAACACATATGGGAAGTTTTATGGGAGACCTACTAATAGTAATTTGGGGAAAATGTCAAGAGAGTGGAGGAAAACTTGGGAAGATGAACTGTCAGGTACAGGATGTTCTGAAGATAGAGGGGGAAAGGCTTAAAAATTACACATTTGGTTTAGTAATAGGTAGACTGAAAGAAAGGAATACAAAACAAATCCATTACAGCTCTCAGTCTCCTGTCTCACCACCTTGCCTCTTTCTAATGCAGTGAGAAAGTGAGGAAAGGTAAATTTACAGCTTCTGGGCCAAAGAAAGCAGCTTTATGGAAAAGAAGCTCAGTTTAGATTTATTCCATTTTTTCTGTTAGAACATAACCCCACTGCACTTGTATCATTCAGCTGGAAGAAAACATTCCCAAGTTAGTTTCCAGCTGAATTTTCTTTCCAGCTATCATAACATACATGCCCAGACACTCTGCATGCCCAAGTGACTGGGGAAGTTGTAGAACTGCTTGTACCAGCTGCTGTACTGATGGTTGCCTTGGGTTTTCTAGTTGCATGAACATGCAGCCTATTTGGTGGACAGCTTGTGGGAGAGCTCCCAAGAACTGCTGAAAGACTGGGAATGTATGACAGAACTGCTCCTGGAGGAGCCAGTCCAAGGAGAAGAAGGTATTGCTTTAACCTCTCTGCCTTATTGCTATTGCACAGTATTGTTAATTATTCCTTAAATACCACTGTCACCCACAGTGAAATATCTTTGTGTGTTGTGGTTAGTTTAGAAAGCATATTTGAAGAAGATTTTAGTTTAATCCATTTTTAATGCACGTTGCTTTAAAAGCAGCAATTTGTACTTTTTTTGTACTCTGTTTTTCTTCTCGTGAAATCTGCTCTGCTGTGGTTCCCTAAAATTAAAGGCTAGGACTTCATTCTGTCAGAATGTTTGAATAACTAGTGCATACATGAACGTTTCAATAAATTGAATGGGTAATGCAATTTTGAATAAACAAGCACTTCAGGTGGTGCTAGTTAAATCTGGGGCTTTCCAGGCAGTGTGAAAACCCAGTGAATTCTCCAGAGGAAAAAAACTAAGGGGATTCTTTCACCATTAGTTTCAAATTCCTTTTGCTAATAATCTGTGTGTGCAAGGTGGCCAGGGAGGTTGGGGGCAAAGAGTCCCCAAAGGCAGTGGGTGTCATCCAAGATCCTTTATAATCCTCTGTGATTCTCCTGCTTCGGGCCCTTTGCAGGGGGTTGGGTGGCTGAAAAATTCAGGTACTCTCCCAGCTTCCTCAGCAGGAAGTGAAGTGATGTGCTCATCACCTCAGAGCTTCAAAGTGTGGCATTTTGGTATCCACCTGCTACAGTGGGGCCATTTAACAGGGGAATTTCCTTAGGAAATCAGGCACTTTGGTTCTTTGTGTCTGCTTAGCCCAGTAGGGTCTGATCCTCCAGAATTGCCTGCCAAAGGACAGAAAATGTGTAAGGCAGTGACAGTGACTGGGGTGTCACTGACTGTCCTCCAGGATCTTTATCATATTGCCCTTCATTCATCCTTTTTCCCAGACTACATTTCTCTGGATTTCTCTCAGTTCAGCCACGTGCATTTTAAGATGATGTGAATAGTAACTCAAAGAGGAAGCAAGGAAGCCCTGATAAATGTGGCAGAACGAGATGGTCCCCAGTGTTCCCTGTCCCTGTGCTCCCCCCCCACACCCCGAGCCGTCCCTGAGCTGTCCCGTTTCCCCCTCAGCCATGTCGGACCGGCAGGAGAGCGCCCTCATCGAGCTCATGGTGTGCACCATCCGCCAGGCCGCCGAGGCACATCCCCCCGTGGGCAGGGGCACGGGCAAGAGGGTGAGTGGGGCCCAGGGACATGGGCAAGAGGGTGAGTGGGGCCCAGGGGCACGGGCAAGAGGGTGAGTGGGGCCCAGGGGCATGGGCAAGAGGGTGAGTGGGGCCCAGGGCCACGGGCAAGAGGGTGAGTGGGGGCCCAGGGACAAGTGGGCTAAGAAAGGGTGAGTGTGGGGCGCCAAGGGACCCTACGGGCTATAGCAGGTAGAGCTGGCCGCCCAGGGGCACCTCAAGTCCTCTAAGAGGGGCCCTTTTAATCTGCAGACAGCACCACGTATTTCTGAAGATGCGTCTGGATTAGACTTTCTAATGCTCTTTAAACTGCTTCGTGGCAACTCTTCTGAAGGAAAATAGTAGAATTTGTATTTCTGGATGTGTTTGGGCTTTTCTTTGTTTCTTTGTTCGATTCTGAGGTTTGTGTTGCCAAGTTGAGCAATATAAATTTCCAGCCTGACAGTCTATTTTAGTGATTTTTTTTTTAGATGTTCTTTTTATCAGGCCCCTGGCTTACACTTGTAATGTACCCACATGTACAGCCCTTAATGTTAAATCTGGATTAGAGTGGAAAGTGGAGAGCTTGGCAGCAAACAAGACTACCTCTGCCTGTCTTCCATGAAGTGAAATGTGCTGCTAATACGGACATTAAATTTGCAGAAAAGCCAACAGTATCTTCACCATGAGAGTGTTTAAGCACTGGAACAGATGCTGGGAGTTGGTGCCCCTTCCATCTTTGGCAGTTTTCAAGGTCTGACTGGACAGCCCCTGAGCATCCCAGTCTGCCCCCTGAGTGGGCTCTGCTTTGAGCTGGAGGGTGGGACTGGGACCAGTCCGAATGCAGCTGTGGGTTTGGGTTTCCATCCCTACCTGCCCCTTCCATTTATCTTCTAGTGACTGAGGATCAGGAGTCCATTACTAAGACTGGACAGGCACTTTTAAACCTTTCAGTATAATTCACAAGGTCAGGGTGATACCAGGCTCTCAGCTGTATTCTCCAGACTTAGCAGCATCCATGTCCAAAGGACACCCGGCTTCCCAAACGTATCCCCCTGATTTTTTGTAGTCCTCATCTTATTTAGGATAAACTAAAATGGAATAAACATGTGTGAACACATGGTATTTCTGTTAGCTCCTGTTCTAAAGAATTGTAACCAGTTCATTAAAGAAAGTCACAGATTTAATAAAGGTGAAATCTGGGGACAGAGTTCTTTATTGTTAAACTAAATGCAGTTACTTAACTTGTTCATTTTTATATGCCAGAAGCAGAGTAGCCTCATGTCCAGTAACAGCATCTCAGGAAAGGCTCCAAGAAACCATCAATTTAAACATGGTTTATGTACCTTAATTTAAAAAGCATGTTCTGAGAAATTTTTAATTTATTAAAACATTTCAGTGTGTGTGTGGGAATCTATGAAAGCACTTAGTCAAATTTACACAAATTTAATCCTGTGTTACCAGAACTGTATTGTAAGCACAGCTTTTTTTGTCTCAAGCTGCAAACCCTTCTAGCAGAAGTGACCTTTAAATTTAACAAAAATTTCATGTTTGTATTTTCTCTTGGGAGCACCAAATAATGCCACTGTTAACTTTCTCAAGAGATCTACAGTTCAGTTCACTTGAGTTCAGCAAATTGCTTAATCTTAGATTTTCGATGTCTGTATTTCTTCAGAGCTAAATAAAACACATCAGTAAAATTAGTTTCACCTTCTGAAGACTGATCTAAAGAGCCCCAAGGTCACCCTGGGGACCCAGGTTAATCCTGGCCCCAGGGCACAGCAGTGTTTGATCCCCAGGGCACAGCTGGGCTCTCAGGGGGTGGCTGGTGCTGCACTGCTGTGCCCAGGGCTGAGGCTGCTCCCTGTCCACCCTGGGCCATGTGCTCTGCAGTGCTTTCTTCTCCTGCTTACAAAGCCATTCCCCCTCCCCTCCATGGTTGGTTTGGATTGCTGCTGACACAATACCCGTCACCCCAGCAGGTGTTTTGTTTCCAGCTGTTCTCCTCACTGTCAGAGAGATGTAGGTATGACATGGAGCTTTTGCTTCTTTCCAGTTAGACATGAGTGGTGGGATGGTAACTGCAGGCATCTCTGGCTTGTCACTGGAGGTTTGTCCTGTCTCCTCATCTCACCAGCTTATTCTGACTTGTAATGGAAGCAGATTTCTAATTAAGCACTCACCTTGTGGTATAGTTTCTCCTCTGACTTCAGCTTGTAACCCTTCCTGTGCAGTCTGGCCCCTTTGCTGTATGGGAATCATTAGCTGACTCGAGCATTTTATTCCCATGATTTGTTTTCAGAAGTGTTCTTTCTTTTCTGAAGCCAGCTCTAAGCTTTCCTGAGGCATGTTTGGGTGATTGTCTTGTTCCCTGTTCCCAGGTGGTTTTACTGTGACAGCATTAGTGCTGTATATCTGTCCCTGACCTTGGTGACGAGTTCTGGGAACTTGGATGTACCTTCTCACTGAGAATTACATTCCAGTTAAGAGATGAGGCCATGAATCTGCTCATGAAAATCACTGTCACAGTGTGCTTTGGGTTTGGTTTTTTAATTATACATCAGTTCACCCTGAGGTCTTACATTAACACTTGGTTTAGTGTGTGAAAGCCAGAGCTTGGAAGCAATAGCAAAACTTCCACCGACTTGGGGTTTATTTGAATCCTCAAAAGATGTCAGTGTGTTGAAACAATATCATGCTGGGTGATATGATATTATCCTTTATGATATTATCTTATGATATTATCCTTTATTATGATATTATCCTTTTCAGTCACGGCTTTTAGGATGCGTGGTCCTCCCATTTAATCACTCTTCAGCCCAAATGTGTTATTTGTTATGAGTTATTTGTTCCTTCCTCTTTTGATTTATTCAAAATACACTTGCATGGATTTTTGTCTGTAATGCAACGTTTAGAAAAATTAAGGAATGCTATAGGCAAAAATCGAACTTACTGTAGTTATTTTTGATCACTTGCAGGTCTTGACAGCAAAAGAAAGAAAAACTCAGATAGATGACAGAAATAAATTGACTGAGCATTTCATTATTGCACTTCCCATGTTGCTATCCAAGGTACAGTTTTCCACAAAGTAACTCTCCCGGGGATTTACAGCTGTCTTGAAGTTTTCTCAGTTGAGTGCAGGAGTTTGATTTCACTTCCCTGTTTTTGTGTTGTTTCCATGTGTTCCAGTACTCTGCTGATGCTGAGAAGGTGGCAAATCTCCTGCAAATCCCTCAGTACTTTGATCTGGAAATCTACAGCACGGGCAGAATGGAAAAGGTACAGCACCCTGGGGGCTCTCAGGTCTGGCATCCCCATTCCAGGCACCCAGAGCTGTGCCTTCCTGGCACAGGAACAATCCATCCCCTGTTGGTGTGTTCTGGGAATGGCTTTTGCTCTGAGTTCCGCTGCTCAGGCAAGGGGAAAGCTGAACTTCTTTTCTGATCTGCAGCATCTGGATGCCTTACTGAAACAGATTAAGTTTGTTGTGGAAAAGCACGTGGAATCAGATGTTCTGGAAGCCTGCAGCAAAACCTACAGCATCCTCTGCAGTGAGGAATACACCATCCAGAACAGGGTGGACATCGCCCACAGCCAACTCATCGACGAGTTTGTGGACAGATTCAACCATTCCGTGGAGGATCTGCTGCAGGAGGTTTGTTCTCTTCACAATCATTTCGTTAATTACTTAGAACATGCCAGAATAAACTGCAGAAAAACGTTCTGACCAAGCCATGAATTTGTCCATCTGAAGATGTAGAGCAGCAGCAGCTATTTCGTAATTATTTGGAGCTGTTTCTCCATGTAGAAAATCCCTTACACTGGCCATTAAGCCTACAAATCATTGATGCTGTAAAAGAAAGACTACAGGACAATCCTGCCTCTGAAAATTTAGTCTAGTATTTAAACAGCCCAGATAAGTGGGTGAAAGATGATGAAAAATGCAAAGGAAATTGCATTTACATTAATGCTTGTGGTGATTCCAGTAGTCCCAAATAGATATGCAGGCAGCAAGATCAAGATTGGATTATGTTTTGAATGGAAGAGAGGATTTAGTAAAATATTTATAATGACATATTAAAAGAGCCCTGGCAAGAATGAAATAAAGATACAGGTCTGAAACCTGGAAGTACCTGGGATTTAGTTGTAAGAATTTATGCTTCAAAAGGCATAAGACAGAATACATTAAATAAGAATAGAAACCTTACTCAGTTTTTCCTCTTTTGCATCAATTTAAATTTGTGTAGCATTACTTAATTTGTTATAATTTTCATGCTCTTTAAACATAACATGAGGACTGCATAGATCTTGTTCTTCCCTTCCAGTCATGCACTGCCCTGTGGTGGGTGCATTTAATTTTTGATGCACATTGAGAGAAGGTTAAGCTGCAGTCTGTGTTTTAGAGTGGCATATTAAAGGAAATACACCTTTTTTTCTCATTTTTATGTAACATGCCACATACAGACACACTGTATCTGTGCCTTGTCACCTGCAGAGCAAACACAACGTTTGTGTTGCTGCAGGCCTGAAAAGGCAGTGCCTGCAGGAGGCAGGGCCTCAAAGCCCAGGGGAACTGGGGCACCACTGTGCTTTCTTTCCCAAAATCCACTGGCTTTGCTGTCCACCTGGCTGCCATTTCAGTACTTCCTCATAAACTTCTGAGCAGAACCTGGGGAGACACTGCAGGATTTGTGCTCCATCTCTGCCTGTCTGTGTGTCAGGGGAACCCTTTCAGCTGATGCCACATTCCATGTCTTGGCACCTGTTTTCACAGCCCTGGGTTTATGGAGTTCCTCACCTCTGGCCAGCCAAACCAAAAACTGCAAGACAGACCTTGGGGAAGCTGTTGCTGACTTGGGTGGCAAAAAGGGCTAAAGCTGGACTGGCAGCACAAAGATCCAGCCCAGAACCAGCCCAGTTCTCCACACCAGACCACCATAAATAGTGGTCTTGTAGAGTCCCCTCCCTTTGTGGTATTCTTTGTTGAGTGATACCAGTTTGAATAATTAGTTTTAATAAGTCTATTTCATAATTTGAAGACATTTTAAATGAAAAAATTTGCATGTGGGTACCCAAGCAAGTATCCCACTGCTTTATGGCTTCCCACTGAGCTGATAATGAGTGAAACATTGACTGGCAATTGCATCTGAAGGCAGGAAGATATCTTAACTTCAGGCTTTTAGATGGAAAAAAAATTAAAATGAAATGGAGAAGAACTGTTTTAAGTGGCTTTCCAGTTTCAGAAAGTTGCTGGGGAAATTTGGGTTTGGAAGTATCTTATTTCCACTTGTCTCGCTAAGGGAATTTGCTGTTCAGTTTGCATAAAGTATGAGGATAATGATATCATGGCACGTTAAAGCTGACCAGCCCTTCTTGTAAAATAAGGTAGAACTCAGATTTTATCTTGGGAATGATTTCCACTGCCACAGGGTACTGGTTTGGATATTAACACAGTGATGATGCTTAATATTGTCAGGTGATCTTGCTTATTTTTTAGTGCTGTGTAGTGGTTACTTAAATGTTATGGGATCTAGATACAAGTCATTGGAACACTTGGAGCCAGTTGTAGTATCAGCATAAACCCTCAGAGGAACTGCTCCTCCCTGCAGTGATGGGCTCTCTCCATGGATTTCCTTTTCTTTACAGGGAGAGGAGGCTGATGATGATGACATTTACAACGTGCTCTCCACTCTGAAGAGGCTGACCTCTTTTCACAAGTAGGTGGTTTTTTCCCCCTCTGTTAATTTTCTCCTTTCAGCAAGTATCAGGAATGTCAGGTGTTGGGAAATGAGAAAATATATGGCCTGAAAGATGAAGTGCAGGATGATTGGTGGTATTTGTCAGTGTAACTGTTTGGATTAATCTGGGTCCTTGCTTGGTTAATGCCATTGCTTTTGCAGATTTGATTTGCAGGTGGCATATCCTCCCTTGCACTAAATGCTTTTGCACTCTGAGTATCTTACTAAAGAAAGTCCTGCTCCCCTGGGTGACAGACAGTGCCCGAGGGACACTGGCACCAAACCTGTGCTTTGAGCCTCAGCTTAGGAGAGCCCTGCTGGAGGTGTTTCTCAGTGCCTTTGAGGTACTTCTCAAAATTATAGAATTAATTAGTAGTAGTAATAATAATAATAATTAATGGTTTATGGTGAGAGCCTGGAAGATGCATTTTCTTCCTGCAGTTGAATTGTTGGCCAAGTTTAACTGTGTGGATTGCACAGAAACTCCTCCCCTGAGCACAAACCAGCTCTGCAGGCTCCTGCTGCTCTCAGAGCCCTCGGCACCCTCACAACCTGGAGAATTCCACTTGAACTGTGAATTTTGGAGCACAAGGACCTGATCTTCCCCTCTGTCAGCTGTAGGAAGACTTTGCTCCTGGGCAGCATAGAAAAAACTCCATGTGCAGGTGGCTCAGAGCCACAAATCATTTCTTCCTTGTCACAAAGTGTGAGAGGACCTTCCTTCACTGTCTCTTCTATACCGCTTACTTTGAGTGATTTCATTTCTCTTTCTGTGCTTAGTCTTCACTTATCCTGAATCCTGCATGGGTTTACTGTATGAAGTGATTCTGAAACCATTTCTACTCTTTGTTTCCATTCAACAGGAATCCCACAAAGATCATTAAATCGTTACTAATTTCCATAGTGCAGCAGGCTGACACATGTGCAAATGAGGCTTTCAGTCTCCCTGGTAACACTGGAGCCACTTCTGCCTTCCTGAGAGGACTGGTGAAAGCTCCAGTTCACATTCAGGAGAGAAGCACAAATCTCAAGGCTTTTCTGAGAGTCTCCCTTATATTTTTTTTCCCTCAGGGTTCCAAACCTGTAGGGAGTTAATTCAGCCCATAAAAACAGTCTTGTTGAATAACACACAAATCAGGGTAGGGGACATCTACTTCCACCTTCACAAAACAGGGAAGAGCAAAGAATCACAGCTGAAAAACAGTTAATGTGTCATTCCCCAGCTGATTTGTGATTTATGATTACAGCTCAGTGAGAATTTCTAATTAATATCTGCTTGCATTTAAAGAAGTGAGGAAATCTTTTCATTACTGTGCTGAATGTTGTGTGAGATGCGATTTCTTTGTGCAAGCAAACAATTACACCATCCAAGACAGAGTTTTTGCTGCTCCCTGAGCTCTGAGATTGGGATGTTCAATGCAAAACTCCCACAGAGCATTAGGCTGCTCCCTGGGACTGTCACTGTCTGTCAGCAACTGGGAGCCAAAAGAAATTAAATCAGTGGAAAGGTGAAATCACAGGCTAACAACTGATACCTTTCAGATCTTCTAGAAGTGCCCTGATAAAGTAGTTGCTGGGGCTTGGAAAGGAAACAAGTCCCTGTCTCCTTCCAGTGAGAGAAACTCCACTGGGCCTTATCTGTGCTTCTGTTTCCTTGGTCACTGCTGCTGCTGCTGCTTCACACTTTAGGAAAAAGAAGACCAGCAAGGTGGAAAATACATGGTAAGGGATTATGAGAAAAGCCTTCCAGACCAAAAGCTCCTGTACTGAGATTTCTCAAGCCTGAGCTAATCCTCTTTCTGAGAGGGTCATGTCAACAAAGGGCTCCCAGCACACTTTTTAATTCATGTCTTTCCATCAAACAAGGATATTGGTATTCCAATACAAATGAAATTCATCATTTAAACATTTCCTTCCACATTTTTAGAATACAATAATAAATTTTCTTGAGATCTTCTGAATAGAACCCCTTGAGTATCCACTTGGGGTTTTTTTGCCAAAATCTTGTAGCATTTTTTTCTGTCCTTAAGTACATGGAGACAATTTTTCTGTACTGACTCCGACCTAATTCAACTGTAAGAGCTCTCCAGATGAAAGCACTATGTGTATAAGTGTGATCAGCCAGGGCACTTCCCAGACAGGTGAATCCATGGTCAGATCAGCACATCCTCTCTTCCTCATTCAGAAACCAGTTGCTTAGTCTTTTTTGCAGTAGTTGGCCAGTGCATCCTTCAGACTGAGTTACTCAGCAGTTTGCTATATCCAGAAAAAGTAGAAATGGTGAGAAATGAAACCTCACCACAGAAATTAGACTATGTCCAGCACAGCTGTTCAAAGCCCAAGGTGCAGCTTCTCTCACTTTGGGCCTCTTTATAAAGGGAGGCAGTTTTGTGGGTGCAGAGATCATCTCTTCAAAAAGAAACTTTTCTAAGCTGCTTCTTGCCATGCTTTGAGAAACACTGTGGAACTGGTGCCTTTCCTTCAGCTGCCAGCTGTCTGGTAGGATGTGCCCCAGCAGACAGGGCTGGCCAGAGGGATGAAAAAACTTAAATGAAATGCTGGACCTTGTTTTCTCAGGTCCATGAAGACCCTCTGACACGGAAGGGACTAAGGGAAAATTCTGTGGTGTGTGAATTTTCGTTCTGGGAGCCTGTGTGTCAGTCTGAAGCTCTGTGGGAATCGTGTGGTGTTGGGGTACCTTTATAACTGTTGTTTGGATTGCCATGAAGCTCAGAAGAGACAAAGGGGTGCCAGAATAGGCCTAAATGTAATCTGGAGGCTCTTCCCAAAGGAAGTTCATATTGAAAACCCTGTGCAACTTGCATGCAGTGAGACTTTTGGAGCTCTGGAAGCTGCAGAGCTCATCCTGGGAGGAGCTGTGGGGGCCTGGCCCCTCTGAGCCCAGAGCTGAGGTGTCCCAGGGCTGGGGCAGTGGGACAGGCCTTGTGCCAGCTGCCTGACAGGGGCTCTGACAGGAAAGGGCAGGGATGAGGCAGCTCTTCCTTCCATATTCTCTGTGGGATAATCTGTGCTGGTATCTGCCTCTGCACACCAAGGAGACCCTCCTGCTTTAATTACAGTGCTGTAATTAAGGAGGGACCACTCTGCCCTGCTGCAGCTCTGTGATTTGCTGAAGCAGCATCTATGTGCTTAATGTCACTGGGGCACTACTCTGACACCTGTAATTTTATCTATGAAACATTTTATTTTAGTGCTTTACAGACCATCTAAGTCTGTGAAGTATTTTTACATTTTTTATGTTTTCATTTCCATTATTTTTTAAAAGTTTTGCTGTTGTTCTATTCATGGATTTGAATTGGAAGTCTAGATGCACCTTGGCTTAGTGACACACCCCTGGAGTGCAAATTGCACTTGCTCTCAGCACGAGGGCATTCACTGTTGTGTTTGCTGTGAAACTTTTATCTGAGACATTTCCCAGGGCTGACACGCTCCAGAGTGGGAAGCATTTCATGCCTGGGGCTTCAACAGGATCTGAGCATTCCCAGCCCCAAGGTCACCCTCTGTCCCTTTCAGAACCAGAGAGTTATTCTTTCTGGCAGAGCAGGGCAGTTAATTATTCAAACCCAGCCAGGCAGCTCCAGAGCAGGGCAGACACCAAGGGTGGGCAGAGGGAGCATATCCTGGAGATGGAGGTGCTGGGTGGAAGGGAGCCAGAGCCAAGAGGCTTCTTAATTTAACTTAGACTTGCCAGGTCAGTCTCAGTATCCCTTCTTCCAGGTGAGTATTTTAATCAACAAGTGTCTGATTTTTCTGAGATGGTTTGCTCTTTTATAAACATATTATAAATCTCAGTTTAATTCCACTGCAGAAAAATGTGTTAAACCTAAAATTTCTTGTGAGAGTATTTTTGTCTTTTAGGCAACCTGATGTTTTGCAATTTCTTCTGTATTTCTCATTTCTGTATTAAAAAGCTGCTTCATGAGCTGTTGAGGTCTGTGAGGCTGTAGAGTGTTTGTTCCTAATATCATTTGTGTTCCTCTCACTGGTGGATCAGGTTGGTGCCACTGAAGTGTGAAACAATGAATGGGGGTGGCAGCACCTTTTCTGTCTCATGTACATCTTGTAAATCGTGTTCATTTCACATGGTTCAGGATATTTAAGACCTAGTGATAATGAAGGTTATTTCTTTCCAAAGGAGACAGTAGAAAAATATATGTTTATTTTGCTTGAAGATATTGCCACAGTTTGGCCATAGTTTCTGCTGCAATGTCAGAGAAGAGTTTCCTGGAGTTCTGTCAGTGCTTAGAACCAGAGAGGGAAGATGATTTAGAGGCAACACTGAGGAGGAGCTTGTCACTGCACTTAGATGTGTGGAATGTAGAGAGTTTATCTCCTCCCTACAGAAATTCCATGAAGTAAAACGCTTTTCTGGATTATCAGAAAGCTGAATTTCTACTTTTAGCCTGGTGTGAGCTGCCTGCTCAGCAGGCTGGGTTGTGTGAGCTGTGCAAAGCCCAGAGCTCTCTGGGCTGCTCCTCCTGGCTGGGAGGATCTCAGCTCATGTGGGTGTCTCCTCTCGTTGCAGTGCTCATGATCTCACCAAGTGGGACCTGTTCAGTAACTGCTACAGATTGCTGAGAACTGGAATTGAACACGGAGCGATGCCAGAACAGGTACAGCAACACCTGCCCTGCACAGTTGGCTTTCAGTTCAAGGCTTTAAAGGGTTTGGCTGTACAGAAATTCAGAAGATTAATGCCCTGCACTTTGGTTATTTAGGGAAACCAGGGAGTTTTGGATGAACTTTATTTTGTAGGCAGGCACTGACTACAGGAGGTGAAAATTCTTGGATCGTTGAGCTACTTCCCTCACCTTTCTCATCTGTAAAGTAGGGAACAATTAATGTTCCTGGCTGGGAAAAGCAATGCATGTGTACAATCATGTACATGATTTTACAATCATGTAAAATCATGATGTTTACACTGTAAACCTTGGCTGCAATTGGAATTACCACACATGATTGTTGTGCATTGAAGGTAAGATGGAAGCTTATGAACACCAGGAAAGAACATCATCCTAGTGAGGTTCTTCTAGTGAACAGATCTGGGACTTTGTTTCTTCTTAGTTCAGTTTTAGTTTCACATGAATAAGCACAGAAACCATCTCACGTTCTCCCAGGATTCCAGTTTAAGCTGCAGGATTCCTACTCCAACATTTAAGCACATTTTAAGTTCTAATTTGTTTTCTATTAGAAGACAGTTGTTAACTCTACCTCAGCTTCATTTAGAAAAAAAAAAATCCCAATTCTCACAAAATTCTGTGTAAGTATTTTGCAAAAGGACCCTTTTGCAAAGGAGGCATTACCACGTGGCATGTGGGAGTCATGGCTCTGAGCTTAGGAAGAAAGTCCTGAAATCTGAACTCTCCTTAGTGTTTCTTCCTGAGACCACTCTAAGGAGTTTGAAAATTTTAGCACCTAATGGAGAGTTGAAATGTTAACAAGATACCATGGATGCTTTAATGGGCACCATGATTATGAGCCTGGTCTTCTCCATGAGACAAGTTGTATTTTCTCCCTTTTTTTGGCAATTGGGCCATGTGTTCATTTGACAGTGGGACAGATTTGTGGGCTGGTTTAGCAGTGAAACCAGATTTAAACAACTGCTTTTGAACTGAGATACATATTTGTTGGGTTGTACCTCTGTCCTGCTGCAGCATCACCTCTTGCTGTGCCCCAGTGCAGTTTCCTGTTGTTTCCCAGCATTTCCACAGTGGTTTGTTCACCTGTAGTAGGCTGGTTTCTTAGTACTTACCTGAGACCTGCTCCCCTCTCTTGGCCCCAAAATGCATTATAAATTTTCTCTCCACTTCACTGCTGTGATATTCCCAACCCACGGGTTCTGTGTGTTCCTCCTGTTACAGATTGTTGTCCAGGCACTGCAGTGTTCCCACTACTCTATTCTCTGGCAGCTGGTGAAAATCACCGAAGGCTCCCCTTCCAAAGTAAGTAGAGATTTTGGTCATGCACATTTTACTGATGAAACACATAATTTTATGTCATCTCTAACATGTGTACAATGTTGGTGTCTGGTTTGTTCATATTTCAGGATCTATTTAACATCACATGCACGTGTCTAAGCTGTGCAAACAGCCTTTATCGGGATTTTATGGCAGCTGATTGTTACATTTTTATTGCTCAAGATAATTAATGCATTTATTGTGAGTCCAGCAGTTTGCATAACTGATAAGTGATGTTGGCAGTGCTGATGAATAGTTCTAAGAAATGCTGGTGATAGCTTAATATTTATGTGTAGTTACCTTACTTACCTTTTAATTGCATCTTTTATGTTGCAGTAGAAATGTAAGGTACTGGCAGGAACAATTGCTAATAAAAAGAAGTGCACACAAGTGTAATGCAGGCAGGACAATGTGACATGTAACTTGTTTGTTAGACTGAGCTTTTCCAGGACCTTTCCTTAGCTCTTGTCTCACTCAGAGGCAAACATCCTGTCTTTTTAGAGCTTTTTCAGAAGTAATACATCAAATTAAAATGGTATGAAAACTGAAGTAATAATTATACTTCCCCATCAGCATCAAAAAAAAAAAAGATGCTCTACTAAAATGCTACTAAAATGAGCATTTTATGCACATAAAAATGATAAAAATGCACTGTAAATTCTTAGAGTTGTTTTGAATGCTGACCTGTATCGATGTTTAAAAATAGCTACTAGAAAAAAAGAATAGTTTCTTTATTCTGGCTTTCATTCCCATTTCCCCCTGCAGCCTCTTTCTTGAGCAGCCTTGGGGTGGCTGGAGCAGTTTGTTCTGGGTGGTTTTCTGTCGAACTTCCATTGTAGTTTGTTTGATCTGCACTGTATCTGTCATTTCATCCATTAGGAGATCATTTGGCCCATGGCTGGTGTGTAAGCCATGATTTAGACTTGGAAATGGGCAGGCATTAAAGGGGATCACTTGAGAAGTGTGGGTAGACAAAGAAATAACACCAGCAGCTCAGAAGAAAAAACAGTGTCTTTCATGAGCATTTTTTAGGTATTCAGGCTTTTACAGGACCATTTCTGACCCAGTATTTTACTATGTAGGTCCATCCAGGTTTTTAGTGTTACTTTGCTGTATCTGTAATGATCTGAGGGCAGGCTGGGGTTGGGGGGGTATCTTTATGAGAGCTGTATAAAGTAGAGAGTATAGCTGTAAAAAGTAGAGAGGCATTGGGACATGCAAGCCTTTCAGGTTTGAGCTGAAAGCAGAAGATTACAAAAAAAACACAAGCTAAGAGCAATTGCTTGTTTTCTGTTTAGATACAAATCAGGTAAACTCTGAAAGAGAAGGAGAAGGTCGTTGGTACCTCTAGGGGGGTGAGAGCAGGGGAAGGTGAGGTGGTGAGAGTTACTGAGGGGAAAGTGGGAGCTGAGAAGTGGGGAAGGAAGGAAGATAAAAGATGGAAAGGCTAATGGGGAGAAAAGGATTTATAATGTCATAAAAGTAAGTCCTTGTTTTTCTGTATCCCACAGATTTATGAATTTTTGTTCCCAGTCTCATGTTTAGAAGATGATTTCTTAGATTTCTCTTAGGCATCCAGGCTGAGAGATCAGAGATGGGGGGATTGATTTGTAAGAACTGTTCATGTGCTGCCAGCTGGGTCATTGTGTGAGTTCCTGCTGGCAGGAGGAGCTGCTGTGTTTCACATGGTCAGGTCCCACTTAGGCATCCAGTGCACAGGATAAAGTATATTAACATTTTGGGATTGCCAGCACAGCAGTCAGGGGTGGGAAGAGGTGCTTGGTTTGGTCATTTCAGGCATATATTGGCAAGGTTTACATTCCTGAATCAGGGATGCTCTGCATCCAGCAGGTGTCATTTTAGTGCAGGGAGTTGGCAGGAGGGATGGGGGGTGCTGGGAACATTTCTTTCCAAGTGAAACTTGGGCATAAGCCCAAACCCAGGCACATGAATTGCTTCCTGAGAGACACTTTCCAGTCCAGCTGTTGGGCAGGGTTTGGATTTGGGCTGCCTGCTGGAGTTCAGGTGTGTTGGACTGGAGGCTTTGTAAGCGTGGCAGGGGAAATCTCCATGTTTGTGGTTTAGATCAGATCAGGGTCAGGTCAGTTCATTGATTTATTAACAGCACACAATGAAGGTGCAGTGAGTGCAGCACATCTGCAGGATAAGCACCAGGCAGACAGCAGGGAACCAGGACACTGGGCACTGATAGTGCTGCTGAGCAACCACAAATGTCCAACTGCCCTCAGCTGCTCCAGGTCACTCCAGTCCCCTCCCCAGGACACACAGAGCTCCAGGAGTTACCAGGGGGATGCTCTGCAGATTCCCCCAGCTGGGTGATGCTGTTTGGGTTACAGCTTTGATCAGAGAGCTGAAGAGAGCAATACCACCATAAAAATGTATCAAAGACATTCAGTAGAAGGGTGATAATTATCACTCCAAATTCTCTGCCCAATAACAAAGATTCCACCAGTTAAATGCAGCAGAGAGTTGGGGCAGAGTTACTCTAAGACTCTTTCTCAAGGTAGCCTGTGGAGAAGAGGGTGCACTGAGGAGTCACCTTGGTGTCTAAAATCTGAAAGGAACAATTGATCACTAAAGGCAGGTTGCAGCAGGGAAGGGTGAAATGTTTAAACCTTGAAATACCCACAGTGTAATGCTTGAATCTTTGGTGGTCCACGTTCAGAGGAGGTTGAGGCCATGGCTGTGGGGGCTGTCAGGGTGCTCTTGGAGGGGAAATAGTTCATCCCATGGTGTTTGTGGGAGCAGTCTGTTGGAGCCTGGAGAAAAACTGTTCTTCAGGTGAAAAGGGGTTTGAGGAGGGAAGGAAGCTGGTTATTTCTCAGCAGGAGCTCTCTTGTCTGTAGATCTTGGGAGCAAGTACCTCTGGAGGTAGGAGACTTGTGGATTAACTCATACTAAATTTCTTCATGTATTCAATAAATCAGGTGCCCAGGACCACTGTCCTGTGCACTGGGCATGTGTGTAATGAAAAGGAAGTATTTGCAGAAGAACAGAGTCCAAAAACTTAGAGCAGTAACAAAAAAAGCATGAACAGAAACATGGAGAAGAGGCAAGAGGGAGGTCAGAGAGCTGTGAGTGAGCAGCAGGCAGGCTGGCCAAAGGCATTGCTGTTGTAGTGTGGTGAGGAGAGGGGGGTTAAAGGGCAGCGTGGTGACCTGGTGGCTTTTCATATTTATATGGGCACAGTGAAAGGTGGCACAAAAAGCTGGAGGGAAGAAAAGAATCCCAAGGTGCAGAAAGTTGGACTATATTCCAGAGTCACATTGGAAGCTGGTGGCTTTTGGACCAAGCTGGAGAAGGGTGTTAACAGTGCAAATCAAGACTTTAGAGGAAAAGCAGTGGGGAACATGGAGAAAAGCTCTGGGTTTGGTAGATGAATGTAGCAGACACACAGCATTTCTAGATGTCCTCAGTGGAAAAAACATTAAATTTAAAGCTAGGAAGTAGCTGCAGAGTTGGAGACACCAGTCTTGGGAGCAGTTGTTTGGTTTTGGGTGGTGGCAAAGACACCAGTCCTTGCTGTCTGGCTCGTTCTGTTCCTGCCATGGACTAGTTAAATGTGCAGAGCTGTGACCCCCTGGTTTTCCCCAACACCAAGAGGATGGGGAGATTGTTTCATACCAGTTCTCTGCTGGAGGCAGCAGGTCAGAGATTCACACCTGGAGAGCTTTGGCTGGGCCTGGGAGTGGTCAGACATTGAAAACCTAATTCATTTTCTTTCCTCCCATTTTCTGTTTTGGAAAAAATTCTCGCTCTGAGGTAGTCTGGAGATTTCTCCAAGCTCAGAAGGTCCCAGATGGCTCCCTTGTAGTGCTCTGCTGGGCTTTCTCCTGCTGTCTGTAACTTTTTAGCAGGAAACTGTGTCATGTGGTGCTGTCAGGAGAGAGGGTAATAAGTAACATGTACCTATGTGTTACTCACTTTGACTGAAAGAAAAATGGGAGACATTCTCATTCTGTTTTTAACCTTTATATAGGATTTTTCATAGGTTTTAGTTTCTCCATGGAATTCATGAACATCAGGTAATTGTGATAGAGAGTAGGAAGCATTAAAGTGATTGTAATCCCAGTGTTAAAGGTGTAAATCAGAGTGAACTGATAAGCCTGGCACCAGTCCCAGGTAAAACCCTGGACTGGCAGATAGCAAACAGAGCTGGTACAAGGCTGCAGGGCCAGGAGGGAAGGCTGGAACACATCAGGCTGTTGTGGGAAGATTGCATTGTTGATGGAGAAGTTTCTGTAAGACACTGGTACCTCACTGCATTTCAGGGAATATTTGGATTCAGTGTCATTCATATTCAGTAGCTCTAAGCTGATTAATACAATAGGAAAATTTGTAAGTGAGAAATCCTTCCTCAGTGGGATGGCTTCCACTGCATTCCAGGAGAGGTCCAGTGTGCTGAAAGCTGGTCATTTGTGTCAGTCCTCTGGGAAGGTGAAGGCGTTTAGGGTGGGGAGGATAGAGATCAGCTGGTAAACAAAACACAATTTTAAAAAAGAAGAGGCATTCTAATCCTGCCAAATGGAAGGCTGTATCCAGGAACAAAGAGGCTGAGCAGGGGGCAGCTGTGGCTTAGAACAGAGCAGAGCTGTGGGCCAGATCCTGTCGGGGAGGGCACTGCAGTGGCACCAGGGATCCGGGGCTGGATTGGCAGGGACAAGCTGACAGGGAACAGCAGGGTGGGAGAAATCCCAGCCCCTCAGTGTCAGAACAGCACACTCACACTGGTGGAAATGGGAAGAGCTTCAGAGCCCTGGGGCCACTTGGGGTGCTTGGGCACCCTGGCAGAGCTGCTTCTGCTGAGAACCAGGAGGGGAAACACAGGGACCAAAAGGCTTTTCACAAACACAGAACGACAAGATCTCATGGCAGGAAGCACAAGGAAAGCTAAAACCAGGAATGAGAGTCAGGGACTGAACAGGCAGCAGGACTGGAACATTCAGCAAGGCAAACACTGCACGTGCAGGGTGTGGGTTCCTGGAGTTTGGGTTGGATTTGCTGTGTAGGACGTGCTCCTTCCCCCTGGAAGCTGATGAAGCATCGTGGGGGAAGGGCTGCAGGAGCTCTGGGTGTTCATTTGATGCCATTTGGGGTTCTTGTTTCCTGCTGGGTGTTGGGTTCATCACTGCTGTGAGATGAGCCCCTCTCCCAGTGTGTGCCTGTTCCTTGGTTCCTCTGGAGTCACTCCTGGCTCTCACAGGAGGGGCTTTTCTGCTGGTCCTGATTTCTGTTGCTCTTGTCACAATGTTCCCATATCTTACATTCTGGTTTGATTTGTTTTCCCCAGTTCATTTTGTTATCCATAAAAATAAGAGACTCCTCAGATTTCTGTGCTTTGCCCTCCCATCTCCCATGTCTGTGGGATAATATTTGTGTGGAGCACATTCATTGGTGTTTTATTTTTTTGTCCATGTTGATTTATCTGAACACGGAATTCTTTATAAACCACCAGGTGGGCTGACCTTGATGTATTCAACCTTTTGTTCTGAAACATTTATAATTTACATTCGATGTAAAAGAGAGACAATTTAACTCAGGAATTTATTGTTTTATTTTTATTATTTACTACAGGGAAACTTTGGGTCAATCCTCAGAAAATTAATGGCTTTTTTCTACTCCGTGCTCCTTGAATAGCATATTTTTTCACAGCCTTTTTGTTGTATGTATGAAATTGTCACCATTTTTTTATTTTGCTTCCTCCTAGCAGTGTTGTTTTTTTTTTTAATTATTATGCACTTTTCCTTTCTAATGTTGATTTTAGGACGACTTGTTGGTGTTGAGGAAAACTGTGAAATCCTTCCTGGCTGTGTGCCAGCAGTGTCTGTCAAATGTCAACACCCCAGTCAAGGAACAGGTAAGGGAAATGTCTGGCACATGCTTTTGGAAAACTGTGAAGGAATTCCTGGGTGCTCAGGCTCGTGTCCAGCTCCCACAGCTTCAGGCATCTGCCTCAGTCACCTGAGATCCCCTGGAGACAATTCCTGTATTAATAGATGGCAGTGGGCACTTTTGGAGGGTGGTCAAGACCTCCAATGGGCTGAATCTTTCTGGATTTTTTCCCATTAAATCAAAGGGCTTGTTGAAATAATTCAGTCTGTCTCTGAAGAACACCATAGCTGTTGTTTGTGAATATTCACTGATTTGTGTCAGGTCTGTTGACATTTCATCTGTCTACAAATGGCATTTCTATCAGACCTCCCCAGATTTTGCAAAGACTTGCTGGCCTGTGGTATTTAAAAGATAATATTTCTTAAAAGACATTTTTGTTTCTTCAAAAGCAGGCTCTGCTTGGCATTTACACTCTGTTCTGCAGGCTGATAAATATAAATATTAAATGCTCAGAGATGTCAGCAGTTTATGTATGTTTAAACACTCGTGTCATTGGCTTCCAGCAGATTTACCTTTAGTAATTGGGTTTTAATATTCAGAGTAGTTACTCTTGGCATATTGTATTAATCTTCTATAATGTGAAAATATCACATAGTTCCATGCAAATGCCACCCAGCACAGCTTAAGGCAGCACTGAATCCTTCCTGCCTCAGCCAAGGGCAGCTGGTCCTTCCCCTGGCTGCAGGGGCTTTGTTCCTGGTCTCTGTTAGCACCCACATTAATACATGTTCATGTACATTAACATGGCTTTGTTCTCTCTTTATGGGTTATTTCATTGGTAATTCAAACTTTCCAGAGAAGCTTCTTTGCAGTTCCCCATTCTGGGGAAGTTTCCAGGTTCAGCCACACAAATCCAGGCCCAGCCAGGCCTGGAGAGAGCAAGTGTCCCTGTCAGGGCTGGACTGGAGACTCCACAGGTCCCTCCCAGATAACTCTTCTGTGATTTTTGTTCATTTTCTTCCTTAAAAAGTACATTTCTGGGAGTGCAGGACTACTTCTTGATCCTTTTGTTTGACTGGATTTTTTTTGGAGAATTCTGTGTAAATTATAGTGTCTCCTTCCCGTATTTGATCCTTAATCTGGACATTCTTTCCAGAGAAAGTCAATGTCCATATCAAAGGAGGGAAAAATATAATAAGTATTTAGAGAAACTGGGCTGAAACTTTTGAAACGTTCCTGGACTGGGTGAAATAAATACCCTGTGAGCAAGTGCACTGCTGCCTTTATGTGGGGCCCAAACCAGCCCTGCCAGAGCTCACCTGCTCTTCTTCAGAGGTCTGCAGGAGGATGAGCTTAAATTCTGCTGAGTATTGAGGGAGTCAGAGCAGTGAGATCATCCCTGAAATGAACCACAACCCTTCGGATCAAGTGGAGAAAAATCCCAGACACCTGCATCTGTTTGCAGGGTGCCAGCAGAACACAGTTTGCAGGTTTTAGAACATACTCCAAGGAATAAGTGAGCCCCTGTGAAGGTCAGCACTTGCAAAGGTTTCATTTGGGAAATGCGTCGAGTTTTCAGAACCTGAGCTTAAAAACAGAGGAATTAAGAAGGTTAAAAAGTCCTCTGTAAGAGGTGATTGGGTGTTGAATGTGAGTTAGATGTTCCCAGCTGGCTGTGACACCCCCACAGGAGCCATTCAGGGGCTGAACAGTGTAACTGTGGTGCAGGGATGTGCCCAGAGGAGCCCTGGGGAGAAGGGAGGGTACTGAGAGCTGCCTTCTGTCCTCAGGTAACAAGGGTGTGACAGCAATGAGCAGAAATCATGGCCAGTTCTGCCCTGCTTGGCTTTTGTCTGGCTTTGAAAGCTGTGCATAGATACTTCCTTTTTTTTTTTGCAGGAATTGTTGATGAAATTCTCCAAGAATTACTGTGCTATGGCTACTTCTCTGTATTTTTGGGATCTGACAAGTGGCTCAGCTTGAATTTTCCCTCATAATGTTGTTCATATTTTTGCTTTGTTGGTCAAAAGAGGTGTTTTTTCTTTGCTACCAATTTGGCTGCAGCCCTTAGATGACAGGTAGATTTAGAGTTCTTTTCATAGAGAAGAAATGGAAGTTTAATCTGAATCCTCCAGGATGTGGAAGAGGTAAGAAACAGAGCTCCTTACACAGGAACCAAAGGCAATCCCCAGGCATTTGCATTTTAGAGAAAATCCTTGTGGATACTTTTCACAGCACACAAACTACAACGAGTACAGTTTAAGAAGCCATTTAGTGATAGCAAGGGATATCTGGAAATGAAACCAGTGGGGTTTTATTTTGTATTTCTGTGACCTGCTCCTCACTGCACTCGTTCCCTTTGCCTTCCAGGCTTTCATGCTGCTCTGTGACCTGCTGATGATCTTCAGTCACCAGCTGATGACAGGGGGTCGGGAAGGGCTGCAGCCCTTGGTGTTCAACCCAGACTCAGGCCTGCAGTCAGAACTGCTCAGTTTTGTCATGGACCATGTCTTCATTGACCAAGATGATGAAAACCAGAGCATGGGTATTCGAAGCTTTCATATTCTCTACTTAGTTTTTTTTATAACAGACACAGAAGAAAGGAGAAAATGGAGTTTTCTGATCAGTTTGCTCCAATGTGTTCAGAAGCATCCCTTCTTTATTTTTGGGAGGTCTGAATGTGAGATATGTGACAGGGCTTCAAGGGAAAGGAGTACAATGGAACAGCACACAGAAGAGAAATCCTTCAGAGTTACCAGAGTGACAGGATCCTGAGGGCAAACCTTGGCAGCAAAGCTCTAAACAATGAAGGCCTGAAGAAACCCATGCCACTAAATAAACAGCCCTTGTGCTCCTCCCTCAGAACAGTCAAATCAAGCTGAGGACATCACTGGTGTGGTTGGAGACTGGGAAGGTGCCTGGGACAGTCTGGACACCTGGCACTGGTTGCTCTGAGCCAGGAACCAGCACGATTAGAGAGGGCAGGTTGAGGGGCCCCATCTCTGCTCCTCACAGGGATGGCTCAGGGTTTTGCCTCTCAGTCAGGCAGAGGCAGATTTGTCATTTAGGCCTGGTTTTAAATAACCTGGTGCTGCTGGGGTCTGCTATAATGCCTATTTGTTATATATATAGGTTATAATAACCTAAATGCAACTACAGAGGTGTCCAGTGTCTGAATCCTAAGTAGTTTTGGACAAGAGATGGATTCCCAGTCAAACTATGGGAAGAGCTGGTGAGTGAGTGCTGTAGTGCTCTTTTGGGCACATCTGAATTTCTGCTGTACTCAATTACTTGTATGTCAGCAGCACACACAGGGACAGCCATGTATGGAATTAAGGTCTCAGAGAATGCATTCTTGCTCCAAAGGGGGTTATGTAAGTTGTGGAATATACTTTTATTATACGATATAATACTTAACATTTTATGTGTGTAGTTTAATTTTCATTCACTGAGTGAAGTCTTGCATGGGGACTGAATACTTCTGGCACTGCCATTCAATGTTAATGCTTCTTCCAACTGGGTTTTACTTCCTGTTGTTTAGAGCCATTGATTTCACATCTGAAAATCCAAGGCAGGCAGTAGAAGCATTGCTTCTAATTTTCCTTTTGTTAAATACTTATAGCTTAGTAAGGTAATGAAGCAGCTCCAAAAGGCCTGTGTTTGAGAAGTTAAGCAAAAGCATTCAGCAAGAAAATAAGTGACTCAGTCCCATATGGGTCATGTCCAGGACTACTCAGGACTATGGATAGTCCTTGGTCAGTGGTGTGTCATGTTCCTGAACTTCCCTGGGAGTTCTGAAGTAGACAGGACTCAAGAAGGATCACTTTTAGTTTTAGCTTCCCCAACAATCCTTCTCGTTCATGGTCAAGAAGTGATGTTTTTCTGAAAGCTCCTTTTCCATAACGTTGCTTTGAAACATAAGTTACTTACAAACATTTTGTTGTTGATGGTGCTTTCAGAGGGAGATGAAGAAGATGAAGCCAACAAAATAGAAGCTTTACATAAGAGAAGAAACCTTCTGGCTGCCTTCAGCAAGCTGATCATCTACGACATCGTGGACATGCACGCGGCCGCCGATATCTTCAAACACTATATGAAGGTACAGCTCTGGGCATCCTCCCCTTAGTGCCAGGGCTCCTCTTTCCATCCCTCCCAGGGCAGTAGGTAAAGGTCAGACACTTCCAAAAGCTTTTTCAGCCTTATTTGATTGTTTTGTAAGAATTTTTCCTTTCTTACACCTGCAGCAAAGCACTTCCTCTGCTGTGTAGCAGCTGTGCTTTAGTTAGCTCAGCACCAAAAGCTGGTCCTGGGAGGTGCTGAGTGTTTCCAGAGAGGCTCCTGCTCCTCAAATTCATCCCTAGAATCCACAACAAGTTCTCTGTTCAATGTCATGTTTCCCTGGCAGTCTCCCAGCTTGGTGCTTGCCATAAGGAGACAGGTTTTTTTGTGAGAGAAAGTTGTTTTAAACAGGACAGCAGTAAAAAAACCAGCTCTGTATAGTACTGCTGCAAGTGGGGATGTCTTAGAATACAAACTGGAAGGGTCTCTACCGAAGAAGGCAGGAACAACATTTCAGAGGGAATGAAAATAAGTGTCTGCAAATGCAGAAATATTAATGAGGCTGAAAGAATACTTTGGGAAAAAATCTGTTCTCAGCCTGGAAGTTTTAATGACAATACAGGCTTTTCTCCCCACATGGTCAGATCCAGAGGCTGTGCTTTCCAGCAACCACACAAAGAAAATGAGCACTTCAAGCTGACTAATTCCTCCCTTTTGTGGCCTCAGTGAGTCCCTCCCTTGGCCACCCTGCTCCTCCCTGCCCATGAGCTGCACACGGGCTGGCTCTGCTGGGCTGGGGCAGTGGCTTGTTCTTCCTTGGAACTGGCAGCCATGGGCCTTCATCAGGGACTTAGTTTGGGGCAGGAAATACTCTTTTGTTTGTTTTTCAACATATTTGTTACCAAAGATAATAACAAACACAGAAGTTCCCTACTTTAGCACTGGGTGCAGGTTAAATTTTCATATCTGGATTTTTTTTTGCAACTGCTGCCTTTTCAAAGCAAGAATTACAAATAATCTTTCTCTTGGGAAAACTGTAAGAAATTGTATTATAAGAGGTCCAATGTAAAGAGGTTTCTTTCACATTTTTCCTAGTACTACAATGACTATGGAGATATCATTAAGGAAACCCTGAGCAAAACAAGGCAAATTGATAAAATCCAGTGTGCAAAGACACTCATCCTCAGTTTGCAACAGGTAAGAGTGTTGATTTTTGTTAGAAATGCTCACTGCAGACAATCCTGGGCAGGCTTTCCTCTGGTGCCCTTTACAGCAGAGCACAAAGGCTGCACTTCTGGGAGGAGATTCTCTTATTCCCAGGTCAGGCTGTCCCTGTCCTCTGTGTCAGTAATCCCTGTCTCCATAAACCCACTCTGGCAGAGCTTTGATCACATAGAAATGGCAGGAAGGGAGAGAAGAGCCTTGAAGGCAGTTTGGTCCCTTTGGTTCATGGAATTTGCTTACTGCTCCCAAGTGAATGAGAATTAGGATGACTATTGCTGAGTTAATGCATCTTCCTTACATTTTGTCTAAATACTGATTGATTTTTCAGATTTCGAGCTAATTAAGTCTTCCAGTATTGTTAGACCTGGTTTTTTCCCCTGAAAAAATTTGCTTTCCATCAACCATAAATTACTGGGTTGATGATGAAATCCATCTGCCAACACTAAACACCACTCAGGCCCTTGAAGTACCAGCTACAACCATTGCACAGGGAAATTACTGCTGTAGGTTAGAGGTTCTCAAATCAGCTGGGCCTCCCAAAATTCTCTCCAGAGTACTGAGGGATTTCCTGCAGCATTATGGAAGCTGAGGGAGATCTGTGAGAACTTGAGAAAAACAGATGTACTTCCAGAAGAATCGGTGAGTGTCAAAGCAGCTTCTGTGTTTAAAACTTGGAGAGGAGGAAGCCAAGTGCCAGAGATCCATCAGCCAAACATCAGCTCAGGAAAAAATAATGAGACAGGCTCTTTGCAAGGGCCTGAGTGAGAGGCACCAGCCAGGAGGAATTTGTCAAGCAGGAATCCTGTCAAATTAAGCTGTCATTAATTACATGGTAGCAGAGCTTGTGGAGATCAGAGGAATAGTAGATGTAATGCAGCCTGATTTAATATTGTCCCTGACACTGTCTCCTGTGATGTTCTCACCAGCAACTCAGGGAAATGTGGTGAAAATGGCAGTGCCAGGAGGAGGCAGAACTGGCTGGAAAACCACTGAGAGTTCATTCTTGTCCTGGGGGTCGGAGCAGCAGTGCTGGGCAGGCAGGAGGTGGAACATTCCGAGGACAGGCTGGTCTGATGGGTGATGGGGGTTTGGAGAACAGCAGGAGGGTGCAGGACTTGCCTGATGAGCTGATGGGACCAGGAGAGATGCTGTTCAGGGAAGGGGGGTGCAGGACTCTCTCTGAGGTATTGTCCACACAAATACAAGGTGGGGACACTTGGCAAACAGCAGTTGGACAGAGGAAATCCTGGGAACTGACGGGGACTCTGTTATGTCTCAGTGAAAAAGTCCCTGCACTGGCCACTCCCAGGTGGAAGAGGTGAAGAACACAGGTCTTTCCCAATGAAAGTGTTTGTGAGCTCACAGGTTTCACCCACTGCTCCCTCCTGCAGCTGTTCAATGAGCTGGTCCAGGAGCAGGGGCCCAACCTGGACAGGACCTCTGCCCACGTGAGCGGCATCAAGGAGCTGGCGCGGCGCTTCGCCCTCACCTTCGGCCTGGATCAGATCAAGACAAGGGAGGCGGTGGCCACACTGCACAAGTGAGTGGTGGTAAATAAACCAGATTTTTATACTACCTGAGGTTAAAGCTTTTGTTCAGTGTGCCCTTTGTAAAGGTATGTGATCGCAACAGGCCCTGCAATAATGGCGTGTGTGTTTTCTGGTTTGTGTAGGAAAATGATGGGGGGTGTGCATGGATGTGTGTGAAAAGGAAGGAAAACCAGCTGCTACCTAATTATTGGTTGGAATTGATTGGATTGGCCATGTTTGTTTAGTTCAGGTAAAGCCACTGGTGTTCTGCACACTCGTGTGGGTTGTGTCTAACAACTGGGGATGGCTCTTGGTCCCACACCACTGGGGATCCCAGAGGCACTGCAAAAAGAATTCCAAAAATATTTTGGAAATCTTTTAAAGGAGATTGAAGCTTTTTATGTAACTGCTGCATAGGAGAGTATAGAAAGGTGCTGCTAAATTCAAATTACGACTGGGCAACTTTTTATTTTGTTACAAATGTCTTCATCGAGTGCTTAGTTTGGGGCAGGATGTATGAATGTTAATGTCTGAACATGTTAATGTTTCTTTACTGTAGGGATGGCATAGAGTTTGCCTTCAAATACCAGAACCAGAAAGGACAGGACTATCCCCCTCCAAACCTCGCTTTCCTCGAAGTGCTCAGTGAATTCTCCTCCAAACTCCTGCGACAGGACAAAAAGACTGTGTAAGTAGTCTCTGTGTTCCTCTCTGGCTTCTCTGGGCTCTGCCATCCCTGGGGGTGTGTTCCAACAACCTACCAGGGGCTGTAGAAAGTCCCAGGAAGACATTTCACATACACACTTACTCATCACTTTGTACTTCAAGGCAATAAAAATAAATGGGAAAAGGAAAATCAGGTCCACTGATGAGGTGAGTTTGAGACCTCCCAAAACAATGTTCTTTAAAATTTCCCATGGGGCACTGAAAATAAAAAACAGTCTTTTTTTCAGGCTAGAAGAAAAAAATTAAATGTTACTAGTGCAGGGAAATTACAGTCTGTAACCATCCATTTCTGCTGGATATTTACAGAAAGTCTAAACAGGTATTTGTTGTTTATTTTAATATATTGGAAGAGGTGTCCAGTTAAACATCAGCCAAGCACTGTGTGCCCAGTGTAGAACTGAATTAATTGAATAACTTCATGACAATTTAAAAACTGCAATTGCCAGATCTGCTGATTTATGGTCATAGGTGTCTTTCCAGTCAGTTTTGTGACCACGAGTGTAAGTCATAAATATCAACTATAAATACCTCAGCTGACTCTTTCTGTCAAGCCTTGCTGTAGTTTCTCTGGGAAGATATTTGTTTTAAAGGACTTTGCTGTTAGGGTTAAGAATTATGAGTGTTATGGTTTGATATGTTATCTGTGTGATAAGAAATACATCCTGGGTAACTTTGTATAATTTTTATTGTACACACACTTGAACCCATTGAACTTTTCCTTTGTGTCAATAATTTGTCAGTTCAGCAAACACTGGGATGATCCAGCTGGTAAACTTGGCACTCTGTGGAGCTGCTCTTCACTGGTACATCTTGGAATCTTGTCAGCCTCTGTCCTGTTCTTCAGGACAGGACTTAAGGATAACAGGATTTTATGGCTGTAGATTCTCCTCCCTGTTGGTCTAAGTGCCATTGGGCTTTCTCCTGTTTAATTAGTGTCCTTTCTGTGCACTCCTCCCTCCCCCCAGGTTTCTGCAGTGTCTGACCTGTGCACTTCCATCATTCTGTACCTGACAGTCTAATTTAACCTGATCCTGTGCATGAAATTTGGTTCTTTAGAACACTTTGTTCCTCCACGTTCACTGTTGCCATTTAAATTGCTTCTCCAAGGTTCTCCTGCTCACTGGTGCCCACACACACAGCCACTGGCTGCTCCTGCAGGACTGGGGTGGAGCCCATTTCTCCTGGTTTTGTCTGCCTTTGCTGTAGTCATCTGTTTCTGAGCTGTTGACCTCAGCTGAGTCAAATGATCAGGGAAAAGAAATAGGTCCCCTAGAGCATGATTGACCTGCTCTGTGCTACATTGCTGCTTTAGGGTGAGCTCAGAGGTGCCCTGGGTGCCCCTGGCTGGGGTGACCATGAGCACAGTCACTATAGCTGCCTGTATGGACAGATTTCCTTGGAGGTGCCTCCCTCCTGCCCTGACGGGCCTGTCCAGGGTGCTCCTCTGACAGGAGACTCAGCTGGACTGGAATGTTGATCTGCCCTTCTCTGCAGCTCCTCCATGCACAGGGACCTCTCCCCCTCCCCAGGGGCTGCCTGGGAAGGTCTGTGACCCCCGTGTGGGGGATCCCTCTCCTCCTCCCTGCCCAGGGACCCTCCCCAGCTCTCCCTTGGGAGCCACATGGGCTCAGGAATGACCCTCACAGTCCCACAAGCATGTGGCTGCCTGTGCCAGCAGTTCTCCAGCTTGGAATGGGACTGAAGAGTTCATTTCCTGCCTCCAAACCCAACTTACCTGCCCAGCACACCTGGAATGGGACTGAAGAGTTCATTTCCTGCCTCCAAACCCAACTTACCTGCCCAGCACACCTGGAATGGGACTGAAGAGTTCATTTCCTGCCTTCAAACCCAAATTACCTGCACGTGTCACCTGCCCTGGGCCAGAACAGCCTTCCTGGCAGTCCAGCACAGTCCTCTTCCACAGGGCTCCTCCTCCCTCCTGCTTTGCTGCTGGGTTTTTATCTGGGGGAAGAAAGAGAAATATTTCCAGTTTGGGAATGAAGCAGCAACATTGGTTTCATTTAGTTTTCCTGTCATGTTTATTTATTTGGCTTCTTGTTTTCTGAGTGACCTCCAGAATTTGGGAGAGCCATTTAGGGGTCTGTTCACATCTGTGGATTTCATATAAAACTGTACACTTAAAGTGCCAGACTCATACAGCTGGGGAAAAAAATGTATACTAATGCTTTATACTAAATGTTTGTATTTATATATTTATATAATAGCCAGCTATTTACTGATGTTTTATACTAAAATCCACATGGCAAATACAGAGAGGGAAATCCTGAGGAATTAGTTTAGGACAGAAGAGAGGTGATTGTCCTTGGAGGCATTTATTTCCATTTATTTCTCTCAGAGACTGTTGGCTTAGACCAGACACTTGACTGATGGGTGTCAGATGAGGTGGAGCCTCAGTATTGGTGTTCTTACTCCTGGAAATTCAGAGTTTCTCTCTTTGTTGAAGCTGGTAAGAACTGCCAGTGTGAAGCTCCTCCAAAATGCTGAGCACAAGGTGTCTCAGGTTTGGCATCTGGGCAGTAAAGGACCCCAAGTGGTGTCATTTTCCTCCCTCACAGTTTGGCCCTGACCACGCACTCGAGTTCTGTAAATAGAAATGGAGGCAGAAAAACTTCTTGCTTTCCAAGACACTTCTTCAGGTAGATTCTCTACAATCATGAAGCACTCGAGTTCTACTGTTTGGTTCTGTAAAGACAATAAACCAAGAAATTCCTATTAGTGCCAGGTTTGGGGGTCACTCAGTGAACACATGAAAGGGGAAGGAAGAAGTGTTCACAATACTGAATAAAACAATAAACAGGAACCTGCTGTTTCTTGAGCAAAGTCATCCATTCACTGAATCAGAACAGAATCCCATAAAAACTGGGTGTGACTGTTGCCCAGGCATGTCCAGTGTGGCTCCTTGTCCTCTTCTGAACAGGACTGTGGAACAACTCCAAGCTGCCATGAGCTACCAGAGGAAAATCTTGCATTTCCTGTGGAATGTGTGGGGGTGACTCCACTGCTGCCAACGTGGCAGGGTGGTTTTTGGAGGCAGTGGTGACTGAAGGGTGCAGGAAGTGATGCTGCAGTTACCCGAGTAGTTCCCTTACCAATCCTGAATGTTTGCCTCTGCAACCTGAAACTCATTAGAGTCACTTCTATGTACCTTTGCATGTTCATTTTAGGGATCACTTCCAATACCATAATTAAATAACCCCTGGACAAAGAAAACAACTTGTGTGCCCCCCAGCCCAGGGGGGGAGTTTGGTTCCTGCCTGCAGTTAACACGTGTGCACTGGACTTCTCCTGGCAATGGCCCAGATGTTCAGACATTCTATGGAAAAGTAACCACTCGTGTTGGAAGGGACCCTTTTCCTTACCCTGGGCTGCCAGAGGATGCCCTGCAGTGGTGGCTGCAGTGCTGGCATACTGGCAGTGCCCAGGTTATCCAGAGCTCCTTGTCTTGTGTTTGCAGTCACACCTACCTGGAGAAGTTCCTGACGGAGCAGATGATGGAGAGGAGGGAGGACGTGTGGCTGCCCCTGATCTCCTACAGGAACTCCCTGGTGACGGGCGGGGAGGACGACAGGATGTCAGTGAACAGCGGCAGCAGCAGCAGCAAAGCCTCCTCCGTGAGGAACAAGAAGGGCCGACCCCCCCTCCACAAAAAGAGAGTGGAAGGTTTGTCTGGGTGTCTCCACGTGTGTGTGTCACTCTGTGCCTGTGTCACAGCTCTGCTCCTCAGGAGCCCTGGGGCTTTGTTAGTTAATGCAGAAATACAGGATATTTTCTCTGTGGAGCAAAACCAAGGCATCTGTTCTGCAAGTTCTGTTGGGCTTGAACGTGTCCTTATGGGAAATACCCTGTTCTTGTTTGTCTGCCCCAGAATTGGCTGGTCAGAACTGCTGAAAGCTGTTCCTGACCTTGGAGAGGTGTGGAGTGACCTGCACTACTCCCTCCTCACTCCTGGACTGCTGGTGTTGTGCCTGTGCTCCCTCTGGGGCCGCTGTGCATTCACAGGGAGCTGCAGAAACCCCAGGCAGAAATTCTCCTGTAGGTCTCTGGTTTTGCAGGACCACTGGAGAACAGTAAAAAGACACCATTTTTGTTAGTATGTGTTGATATGTGTTAATATGTGTTGCTATCCAGTGTCTGTGTTTACTCTTTCTGAGACTTCAGGCATGTCCATCAGGAATTTGGCTGGGACAGCAGATTTCTTACAAGGCTGCATCTGTTCCTGGTCAACCTGTGTGACCTGTGTGCACTTTTGTGAATATTAATTTACTGTTCCACTACAGAGTAGGTGTAAGTGGGATCTTTAAACTTCAGGGGGTTTTCAGGGTCAGTGTCTATGATAGTAACTCCTTAGAGAGGAATCTAAAGCCAGTTTGCCTGAATATACAGCAATTTCCCAAAATACCCCTCTGTGTGTGTACAAGTGTGCCCCTCTGCACTTGTCCAGCCAGGTCCCTTCTCCCCTGCAGCCTCTGTTCAGTCCTGCACCGGCTCCTATTCCTCACAGCCAGCCTGGAGTGTAGGGAAACACTGGTCCCTTCCCTCAGACACTGCTTTCCTTCCTTCAGAATGCCAGGATTTTCACAGAATTCAACTGCTGAGGTTTCTTTCTTTCCTCTTGATACCATTTTCATTCTATTTTATTGTATTTTGCCAGTATCCTTTTTTTTTTTCCCCCAGGAAGTGCAGTAGCACCTTTGCTTCCCTATAAGGCAAATCTCAGCCTTCTGACATAGTTTTTAGGCATTATTTACCTCTTTTGTGCTCTTTGTGCCCCCTCTCCTCAGTGATCAATAGAAGGGACAATTGATTTCCAACACTTTGCATTTGAGTAGCTCCCTTATTTTTTTCTCTTTCTCTTTAAAGGATCTAAAATAAGGGCAAGGTCACTGCAGACACTATCCTGGCACCAGAGAACCATATCCAGTCCCCTCTGGTTCCTTTCTGCCCTAAATGCAGGACATTCAGGGTTCAGCAGGCTGGGCTTGAGGACACTCCCTGTTGCTCCTGAGAGCAAACATGCTCTGGGACATTTCTTCCCAGTGCCTTGAGGAAATCAATAGGATTTTTTTAAAAAAATCCCTAACATAAAAGAGATTCAAAGGTAAATTCAAGAACAAACAGGAAGCTTTATAGACAATCCTAAAGGGTAGTAAAAGGCATAAGAAGAATGAACAGATCCATGGAGATCCCCATGTCCTTTCTCACCACACATGTCCTGTCAGGAAATCCGTGATCTTGCCGTCTCTGTTCCCATCTCCCCTGTAACTTGCATTGCTGCAGCAACTTCCTTTTTTTCTCCATGTGTCTGGCTGCACTTGCCTGCTCTGTCCCACTCTCCTCAAGTCTCCCCCGTTCCCTCCTCTCTGCTTTGCTCCCTTCCCAATCCCAGCACATCTCAGCTGGACCTTCAGTGCCCTTGAAATTCTGATCCCTGTGCCCAGTGCCCCCTCTCTGCCCCACTCAGATGTTCTGACTGATGTCTCTAAGGGTCTGAGCCGACCACAGTTTGGGGTTTCACCTCATCTTGGTGTTTACCTTTCCCTTGGTTGCTGTACACATATGAGATTACCAGTTTTATGTTGAGATTGTAAACTCAGGGATTGGGAATTACCTTGGTTGGATGTGTGCAGAATGCCCAGCAATGGAGGCAGTGCTGCCAGACAGTTTTGTTTGCAATAACTTCTGTGTTTGTTCAGTGTTCCTATTTTAAATTGCTATTATTGCTGGGAATAGCTGGTAGTACTACTTAGAAGAGCAGAATATAAAATTAGAGCTGAAAAACTTCCCATTCCAAGCATTTCCCCTCAGTGCACACCTGTCTAATGCTGCCCTGCAGTTACCAGGAGTGCAGCAGTGATTTCAATGTTGTCTCCAGATGAGAGCCTGGAAGGCTCCTGGCTGAACAGGAACGAGAACATCCACACTCCAGGGGCACTGCAGGCACCACAGCTCACCTCCACTGTCCTGAGGGAGAACACCAGGCAAATGGGGGAGCAGATCCAGGAGCACGAGTCGGAGCAGGGATCTGAACAGGACTTTTTACACAAGTAAGTGCTGGAATTGCAGGATTGAATACAGGGAGCCAGGCAAAGGAGTCGCTTATGACTTACACAACAGTCTTAGCCCGTGGCCCCATGGATGCAGTTTTCTTTGCAAAACCACCTGAACATGCCTTGGCTATAGCTCAGCAAGACTTCCATTCTCTTCAGGTCCCAGGAAGACTATGTTGCAATGAAATAATAGTAGAAATTGCTCATGCTAATATTGTCTCATAGCATAACCCCACAGTTGTGGTTAATCCTCTGAATGTTTGTGTCCCTGGGCTGGATTGAAGTGTTTCTCTAGAAGACCTGTAAATGTTCTTTTCTCTCCCCCTACCTGCTGTCATTTGAGGTTCTCCTGCTGAACTCAGGGGTTAATCCTGGCCAGAGGAATGCTTGGGTCTCGGCTGTTTTCTCATGAAACACAGCCTGGTGTGGCTCTGGAAGGGCTGCACTGGCCTTGCTGCTGTTCCCTTGTGCTGGGCACAAATCCCCCCAGAGGGCTGGCTCTGCTGGGCTTAGGGGGCACTGATGGTGCAGCCTGGCAGGGTGAGGGACTGGCCCTCAAAGTGATGCTGTTCAGGGTCTGTGTGTAAAAACAATCTGGTTTTCATGTTGTGGAACGTTTTAAAACGTGTCCATTATTCATTTGGCTCTGTTCTTGCTCGTATTTTGCCTGATCTGAGACAGTGAAGTAGGATTTAATAATAAATTGTAGCAGTGCTCCCACTCCAGGTGCCTGTTCCCAACGAAGGACCAATGTCAGTGTTTCCCATACCTGGTTTTATTGCAACGATTAATGGATTTCTTTGTGCATGAACAGTGAGAGGAGCCAAGTTGTGGAAGGGAATCTGGAAGACATGTACAGTGATGAATGTGATTTAATTACCCTGCTCTGAAGCATGGCCATGGCCAGACACAGAACTTGGAGATAGATGCTGTCTATAAACAGCCAGCTCAGAAGTGTCTCTGTCCTGACGCTGTCCCATGTCAGTCCCCAGATGCAGATCTCGTGGCTGGGCCAGCAGAAGCTGGAGGATCTCAATCGGAAGGACAGGACAGGAATGAACTACATGAAAGGCAGGACTGGAGTAAGGCACGCAGTGTAAGTGCTCCCAGTGTCCCCCTGTCAGAGCCTGGATGGGACAGCAGGGCTGAAATGGGACCCTGCCTGTCCCTGACAGCGATTCCTGCTGCCCTGAGCCTGCTCTGGGCCCTGCACAGCATCTCCAGCCAAGGGTTCCCCCTGAGCAGGGATGGAGGAGCACATGTGGGAACACTGAAGCACCACGTGCTCTGGTGCTGATCCCACCCAGTCCTTCAGGAATCCTTACAACCTTAGAAACTGGGCTTGGATTCACTGCTGGATTCCCAGGGATTTACTGTGATCCTGGCAAGCAGTGTCACTCCTTCTTGGAAAAGGGCAAGCAGACACAGAGAGGTTATTGCCCTGTCCTTGTTGAGGGCAAATTTGATTCCTGTTTGTAGTGCAGTTCCATGGGACTTGCTGCTTCAGCCTCTGCCAGTGCTGGGGTGGGTTTTACAGACAGTTTTCCTGCCACTGATATTGGAGAGTGTGGCTTTACTCAGAATGAGGGTTTGGGGGAAGGCATTAAAGGATAGACTTTTAATGTCAAAGGTGATGGTTGGGCAGTTTAAATGCCTGGA